AAACATACATCATCATAAAACCAGCAATACACTAGATCTCCGATTTCCATAAGATTTAGTCACATTAAGAAGCTAATTCTAAACTGTCATAAACACACTATGTGGGCATGCCTAAATCAACTATTTTAGGCTGTATGAACAGGACAATCTGCCTAATTAGCTTTCTGCTCTGTGTGTTATGTATCTGTATAACAATCTTATACTGAATTTTGTCAATATCATGTTCACAGCTCACTTCACAGCTCACTTCCATGCCTATTCATCTAATTTCTAACTGTGTTGATTTAAGTTCTCCTGAAGCTAATGAAATTATCCAGAAAACTATCCAGAGATAGTTCTTGCAACTGCAGCTACCATTTTTAGAACTGAATTGAGAAAGAGATGCAATTAATATATGGCTGTACTTTCCAGAATGGATTAAAATTCCTCTTCTTTTTTCTAAAACCTTTCTTTTAAAATGTTCTTTTACCACATTCACCCACAAACTGCAATATGACATATCTTCTTTTTGACAGATTTTTTTTAATTTCTATTTAAAATGATTCCTAGAAGAAAATTCATAGCAATAGCTATAGCACTTAGACTTATACATCACTTCATAATGCTTTACAGTCCTCTCCAAGCAATTTATAGAGTCAGCATATTGCCTCCAATAATCTGGGTCCTCATTTTACTGACCTGAGAAGGGTGGAAGCCTGAGTCGACCTTGAACTGGGTCAGAATCAAACCCCTTCCCCATGGTTTGAAAAAAGAGGAGGAAGAGGATATAGTAAAGAGAAATCTATAAAAAATAACTTCGAACCTTCATCACAGCAAATACAAATAATCTTTATAACTCTTTACCCCTCCTTAATTTACAATGATCTCCTCATCCTATATTCCATCTATAAAAAATCCATAAAATATCATCTTTTCAGTCCTCAGTGTCAGCAGAAAATCTATTAAGAGTTATCAGAAATAGCAGAACATCTTATTTTAACCTTTATCTTTCTGATAAATATCTGAATTAAAAATCAGAGAAGAAATGGCAAGGAAAGGTTATACTTGTCAGTGGTTTGCCTATGCTCAGTGGATAGAGAGATTTAAACTGAACAAGAAGAAATCTGTTGTTACCAATGAAGAAATTGATTTTGAATTAGATTTATGTATTAATGACAAACAGGATATTGCTAAGATATATAAATTATTATTGAAAATGAATGTGGAGGATGAAGGTGTTAAAGACTGTATGATCCAGTGGGAGAAGTCCCAGGGGAGAGTGACCAATACACTCACACTCACTGACTCTCACCCAACTTTCCCCCTTCAGCCCCAGAGTTCCTGAACAGCCTTACAGGACTGCAGAGATGCTACAACAGTCATAAGTGTGAGGACTGGTAGTAAGTCACATTTTCAGCACCATAACTTCAAATGGTCACTAAACAAATGGTCAGAAATTGAGAATTACCTGTATGAGGATGTTGGGAAGCACTCAACTTGGCAAGGAGGAGGGATCAAGTGTTGAGCTAGCCTAGAGTCACTGCACAACCACAAAAAGGCTACAGCTGACCCCACCCCCAGGTACCTTGGAGCCTTATCTAATTGTTCCCAGTAGTACACTGACAGACTGGGAAGATTCCTGTATTACTGACAGAACTTAATAAAGTAGTTAGTTTGAAATCTGCATGTGTGGGCCTGGTTATTCATGCCTCATAACCAGCAGATCTTGGAAATCAGAAGAATTATACACACATGAAAGGCCTATACTATTGACAATATTTTGCAAATATTGTAAAAAATGTAAATTTGCAGACTATTAAAGATGAATAAATAATCTTTGCAACTGATGAGCATTAAGCCTATTGATTTCAGTGCTTCCTTACCAGAGCTCATTTGTTATTCTGATAAATAGAAAATTATGACAATAATGTTCTGTTCACAAATATTAATGTTTTTAAGTAAGCAGAAGGAAATGTTTATCTACCCAGAGCAAAATTAAATGATGGGATTCACTGCAAGCCACTGTGCTAATGGCTGCCAGGTAGGGTACCTTTAAAAGGAATTTGATAGATTTATAGTGGATCAGGCTATCAGTAGTTTCTAATACGGATTTACTATTTCCCGAATATTAGCTGACCATTGTGTTCTGCCTATCATCTACCAGCTGGTGGCAGCGTTTTATTGAGTGATAAGGAGGTCATTGCACAAAATCATTTGATTTCTGGTGATTTCATGCATGTCTTTATAAAAGATCCTAATGCTCAATGAAAAGTACCTGGCTTTTACAAACTTCTGTTGTCCCTTCTCAGTCTTCCCGAAGGAAAAAAGTTGATTGATTTGAATTTTTCTTGTGCATATTAAGAGTAAGAGAGCAAAGGAGAAGGAAAATCACAAATATTACAATGATCATTCAATAGAGATGTTGCATGAAGTAAGGTTGCTTAAAGCATGTGCAATTGTAATTTCTTAGGAACATGGAGAAACATTGGATTAAGGCAGGTTCATACAGTGTGGAAAAAAATCAACAAACATTTCTGAAATGACTGTCCTGGTAAAATCGGGTCGTTCTGTGTAAAACAGAATAACAGTAAACTACTTCTCTACAGTGTAAATCTATCTATTGATATGGCTTATAAAATACATATGTTCAGGAGTATGAGTTTTTATATAATTAGGTGGGAATTTTAAAATTGAAGCGTAACACTCCTGGCCATATTTTTAAATGAAGTTATTAATGAAAAAGCAGCATCGTACTGGGCCAGTGAAACTAGACAAAGAATGAATTGCTGATCACTGAGCAGATAAAGACACCACTTTCAATCTCAAAATAAAGGGAGGATCCAGATTCCTTGGCCTTCCAGCTCTTTCATTCTACATTTCTGTGTTTCATTTTTGCTTCCCTTCTACCTGATACCTGAAAGGTAGGACAAATCAGAAAACAGACAGGAATGCTGCTTTATGGTTATATGGTATAAAGATTCTGGAAAGCCTACCAGATTTTCTGTCTGCCCTTGTTTATACCAAGCCAACTCAAGACTGGGAAAAATTTCACTTTCTTTTTCACATCCTATATTTTCTGATAGCTGTAAGAAGTAATATCTGAGACAGAAGAAAAAGCTGTTAGTACCTTAGCATCAAGGATCTGTAAAATGTTCCATAAACAACTATTCAGTGCCAGAACCAAAGTACATTTCAAATATTTTGATATTATGTGAACAAACACATTTATTCTGGATATGAAATAAGAATTTGGGGGTGGGGAGAAAGGTACTATGGGGATGTGTCTATAATCAATGGTACTTGAAGAGCAATGAAAGATTTAAAAGGGAGGGATTGGCTCCTTGAATAGCTGTTGCGATATCAATCAGGTGTTACACACTGCCCTTGAAACTAGTGAGAACATGGCAGTAATGGACGTGCAGAATAGACAGAAAACCAACGTGCTTTGCCTTGTTCACTCTGAAAATCTCTGTGATACCCTAAAATTTTATTTTGGTTTGTTTCTACTGAATCATAGCATATTTGAAGTAATACAGCAGAACTTCCAGAATGTGAAGATTTGTTTTGGAATTGAAATATTTTCTGATTCATGCACACCCATTTAGCATTCCCATACATCTTAAAGCATATATTTCAATCACTTGATCAAATAAATATTCCTTAATACTTAAGATAAGAGGTATAACTTGTTATCTGAATACTAGTTAGGAAATACTATTTGACATTATACTTTTTATTTATATTCCACCTCATTTTTATAAACAACTCAAGTATTATTTTTATAAACAATTCAAGGCTGTAAACATATCTAGTATTTTAAGTAAATATCCAGAAAAAAAAAATTCTCATCCTGCTCCATCCAACAATTCACAAGGCAATGTTTTCCCCAATAGGAATTTCACTTTCCATTTCATTTCTCCTCCCTCGATCTTGCAGCCTCTCATGTATCCTAAAATCCCCCAATCCTCAACTGCAGTTCTGAAGAGAAATTTCAGGAGAAACTCATCCATCAATCTCCATTTCATAGTCGTGTATGTAAGAGCCATGTTGATACAAGAGCATGTTTATATTCATTGATATTTTTTATGCCCGAGAATAGCTCTCTATAAGAGCAGATAAGTGAAGATATGTAATCGATGCCCAAAAAAATTTTTTTTTAAAGGGAATGGTAATCTGGATATTTTTCTAATATGCAAAATTTGCTTTCATGCAATGCAAATCATTTATGAAGACCAGCTATTGAGATTAATTCTAGAGGTTTTCAAGAAACAATTGGACAACCATTTGTTCAAGATGGTATGAAGATCCTGCTTTGGGTAGAGGGCTGAACTAGAAGACCTTCCAAACCTATGATTCTACAAATTAATATTGGCATGTGTAAAACAAATTATATTTGATGTAATAAAGTATTTGGTCTAAAATACACACATCATCTTTTAAAATTATTGAAGAGCAGACTGCTACATAATCAGTTAATACAGCATTAGCATATTGGCATAGAGCTTTCAGCAGTGGATAGATACACAGTTCCCATGTTCACATGTGACATATAAAGAAGATAGCTTTTTTTTAATGACCTAATACAGTGGTTCTCAACCTTTCTAATGCCGTGACCCCATAATACAGTTCCCCATGTTGTGGTGATCCCCAAGTGGGTGTGGCCACCAATAAGAGGGAGTAGGACAGCTAGGGAAAAGGGGAAAAAATGGCGGACAGCGTGGTTTGGCGACCCCCATGAAATGGTCATTCGACCCCAAATGGGGTCCCGACGCACAGGTTGAGAACCACTGACCTAATAGAACATTCATACAGCTAAGCAGCTCTTGATCTCATCTCATCTTAGTATCTTGGCAGATACCATTTCAGAATCCTGTGTAGTTGCTTATGGTGCAATCATGGAAAAAAATGTTGAACATAAATATAACAAAAATATTTTTAAATAGATTATGTAAAATAAAAAAGAAACCCCTTCAAGGCCTAATTATTTATCTTGGTTAAATCAAGACAATCACAGATAATGATTTTTCCCAAATCTTTGGCTGTATTGTAATGGTTGTTTCAATTTGTAGTATCCAGCTAAACATTTCCTATTCATGGATTAACAATATATTTTACCAATATGTGTATTTTAACAGTATTTATCCAACATAACAAAATAAACTGCAATTTGTTATATTTTTTACAAAACATTTTATAAATATTTTTACAAAATGTATACAAAGCAATTTCAAGTGAGACATACTATACAAATGAAAGTTTTTAAGCAAATGAAGTTCATATTACATTGACAAAAAGTGACACATCCTCTTTCAGTAAAGTCAGTCTGTAAGGCCTCCCAAATCTAACAGATCAGTTATGCTGACCTTGTTGAATCAGATTTTTTATAGTTGCCAGCTAAAAATGTTTTAACTTTAGACAATGTGGAAAGACATCAGGTATTTAAGAGACCAAATCTACAAAGCAGTAAGCACAAATAAATGGCCTTCACTGGATTCAGGACCATGGGCTGCGTAACAAATTCACACTTTGTTTCTTTACAATGAACAAAAATATTTTTACTGCATTACCATTTAAAATATTCAGAACTCTAAAACCAAGTTCAGTTTAATAAATAAAATACATTAACTATCCCAGGTTAATTCAGCTGAACTTCGTTCAGTGGGTTCCCAGCACAAAATCCTGGGATAAATATAGGTATGATTTAATCCACATTGATGAAGTGCATTTCAGATGTCTTGGCTAAGACGTTATCTAAAATTAAACTCTCACCTAAGATTCAAAACATATACACTTTATTTTGGTATTTAGGTTCAGAATATTCTGTACATACAATGGGAACTTTACACTGGCAGGTAAAACCAAAAGAAGAAATTGTACAAATGTGAATTATTATTTTTTTACATTTCCAATCAGATACTAGTTAAACTAATTTATATGACTGACACAATATACACCCTGCTTTCCAAATTACCTCATTATGGTTACAGTTCAATTATGTTTCCTTCACAAAACCTTGAGGGAAAAGCACTTCCTACTCTCTTTATGTAACTTAAAAGAAACAAATAATTAAATCCATCCTCACAAAAAATAAATTTGTGACAAAGCCAAGCCATCAATTATAGCCATTTAAATTATGGTTGCCAGGAAGTGTACAAAATCATACGTCTGTGACTTTAAAATCACAAACCTGTGGGTTTTTTTAAAAAAAGGAGGCAATAAAACTAAACTCCATGTTTCTATTCCTATTATATATGGATTGTACATTAACTGTTGTTACTCTTTTGCTGAATTAAATTATATTTTATTAATCCATGGCAATGTGGTCACAATACAAGGATGGTAGTGTGTTCTATGTGGAATAATACAACAGAATACAGTTTTGCATTACATTATTTGGAATAAAGAAAGCAAAATGTGACTTCTTTCTAAACATTCTGGCAAACTGACTGACAACCAGTTTGTCATTATATGTAGTAAAACTACATGTGGCTGAATGCAAGAGAAAGATCCCCATCAGATCAAGAGCAGAGAGTCCTCAATAAATTTTAAATATTTCTGTAAAGAGAAGCTGCAGACAAAGCGTCATAATCACAGTTCTCTGTCCTTTTGAGCAGGCATAGTTGTATGCAGCAGCATTAAAGAAAGCTTGTAGAGTTTGTTCTTTAAGCCTGGCAACATAAAAGGAGAAATTTGTATACTTAAATAATAAAGAAAATACATTAACAATATGACCACCAGCCAAACGCAAACCATGCATGAGTTTCCTTTGGCTCTAGATTATGAAATGTATGCTTTTACATGTGATTTTGTTAATGGATAGAAATTTAACTTTGGTTTATATGTGTTTTGGTAATATGACCACTGCTGCAAATGAATTAACATTCTGAACAATTAACAACCAAAATAACACTGTCCTTTAATTTGTTCAGATTAAGGCTAGTGCTCCTTAAACTATAAACATTTACTATAACAACACAATTTTTAAGTAAAAATACTTGTCATACTTGGTTTAGAAAAACATTATACTATTTCGGAAATATTTAGTTGATTATATCCAATTATAAAATACAAAAGTTTTTGTTGAATAAACAATATGTCAATCAAAATTTTTGTGTGTATATATGTGTATGGTATGTGCATGACTACTTTATAGCTTTTTAATATTTCCCATCTACTAGCTTTTCTAAACTTAGTATTTATTGTTCCATACCAAATTGCAACTTAAATTCTACAATTCTATAATTCTCTGAATTATATTAGTTTCTGCTTATGGAGCAGCTGAATAGCACTTGAAGTATAAAGCTCTGTAAACTCTGTTTACAATTTTTCAGTTTACAGTTTTTTCTCTATTTCTTGTAAACCTGGCAAAGATATTTCTGCAAAGAAGTAAACTGTAGAATTTTTAACCACAGAGATTTAAATCTTGACAGGATATATAGAGAGCATTTTTCTTATTAAACGTATTTAATACACCTGTTAGCAGTCTGTGATTGTCAATATACTACCTTATTATGTAGGGTTTAGTCAATTAATGTTTCATTAAGCTACAACATTAAAACTTTTTAAACAAGCAATGTAATCCGGTGGTTAGAGTGTAACACTTAGCCACCGATCATGATGAAGATGTTGGGGATTTTCTGTTCCATATTTTATTAACCAGTTTTGTCATGTTGTCAACTCTGGATTATACAACCCTAATTGTAGCTACTGAAAAGCCAACAATTGCAAATCACAGTTGATGCATCTGGTTTAGTTATTAATTATAGGTTAAACCTCAGGCAACACATTAAACTATAGTCTAAAATAGAAACGAAAGCTTCTAATCTTACCATTACAGTTGAGTTGGAAGAAGAGAGGGAAGGGAAAGGCTCATTGAGAATCATTCTTGAAATGGTAAAGAACATGGTTGAGAATTACATTCAATCACAGCCAATGAATAGGCCTTACCAAACAGCTTTCTCTTAAGGTTTTACATTACTGGATACCTCACTGTAACCACAATGAGTACTGCTCTCAAACAAAGAACAGAACCTACTTTAGAAAGTACACCCGTCAGGCTGTATTTGTAATATCTTTCACATTTGTTTCTAAGGGAGATTTGTCCACGGTACTGTAACTATTAACATTCTAAGATACTATTTACAGCAGCTTCTAAAAGAGAGTCAGATTCTACAATGCTTTCACTGTGGTCTGGAATAAATTTCTCCAGGCAGTTTCCTTGTGGAGCAATAAGTGAACAGTTAGGATACTCTAACTCTAGAGAGCCACTAGCAGCTCCCCCACTTTGTGGCTGCCTTTCAGTCTTTTTCAGTTCTAATATATTTTTGAATGTAGTTTCTAAACTCTTATTGACCAGCAAATCCTTTTGGGATTTTCCAGAAACTTTCCAGTTGTCTGGTGGCAAATCGATATTCTTTGGAGAACTCCGTGGAGTTTTATCTTGGAGGGAATGATTATATGCTGTTTCTGAATGAGAATCAATTGTATTCCAACAGGTCTTATGCGTACCACGATCTGCATTTGATAAGATTTTAGATGAATGATCTTTAGAAGCTAAAGAATTTTCATTCAACTTGTCAAGACCTTTAAGAGCAATTTTTTGTTCAGGAGAAGCCATATGTTGGCTTTCGGGAGAGCAGCTTTCAGAAGAGCATTTCTCAAATGTTAAAGCTTTTGCAAGATCTGCTTTTTTAACAGAAATGTTTTCTTGTGGTGGACTCACAATATTATTAGGCACTACATGAAGTTTGTTGCACATTAAAGACTCTGCCGTGCTTGACTTGTCTCTCATTTGGGCATTAGCAGTCTGGTTTGGAGAAGTTGAAGATTTGCTAGTTTGATGATCACTTTCGTGAAGCTGTGTTTCATCAGCACCCTTGTCAAATTGCGTGGATGAGCAACAAAAGTCTGCCAGAAAACCATCTGAAAATTGGAAAAAAAAGTATCTTAATACTACACTGTTGTACAACAGCAAGACATAAGAAATATTCTTCAATGTTTTCAGACCTGGGATACCTATATTTTGCCCAAAGTGGAATTTTGGGACCAACTTCTTAATTTTTTTTTATCGTGGATCTATAGGATATAAATATTGCAGTAAGCCCCATTTACATTAAGTCACAACCAACATGTAAAAAATAAGTGATGTGCTAAAACCTACAATGAACTACTGTACATATTAAAATATGATTTTAGGTTTCAGATTGTAGCTTAAATGGAATTCTGGTTAGTTCAGTGTGAATCACAATGGAACATGTTGTAATAGAATGTCCTTTAAAAAGAAGTCAGAGTGGGAAGAAAGGACCTACGAAATCCATTTGGTTCAGTGATTAAGGCACCAGACTACAAGCCAGAAACTGTGAGGTTCTAGTCCTGTCTTAGCCATGAAAGCTCACTGGATGCTTGGACCAGTCACTCTTTTTCAGTATAACTCACCGCACAGGGTGGTTGTTGTGGAGAAAATAGGAGGGGAAGTTGCATATGTTTGCCGCTTTAAATTATTTATAAAAATAAAAAAGATGGGATGCAAATAAATAAATAGCATTAAGTTATAATTGCCTGACCTATTAAATATTTCTAGACCTATTAACTGTTCCTGCACTGAAAACTGACATGTCTTCTGTACCTATATGCACATTTTTATAAAATAAACTAATATTCAAGAATTTCAAAATATTCAAATTTTATGTTGAAATTTGTTCTCAATTGCCTTCATTAATCTTTTTAGATTAGAATGTTTCTGTTCAGAATTAGCAGAATATTTTTCTAAGTAAAGAGGTAACAAATATATTTGTAAACATAATTCCTTTGAAAACAAATTATATCATTTCTTACAAGCTAAAGTGATTTAAAATTGTCATGTAGTAAAATATATTTTTGAATACTGTACATGAATGCAGCTTTATCAAAACCACATATTGTATTCTGCATCTTCCCAACAAACATATTGTTTGGGGAAGTAAAGAAGAAACAAACAGGTGGTGGGAGGGGAAAGAATTAAGATTAATAGCACAACAGTAGGCTATTGCATTACACTGTTGTTTACTTATTATTATGAATAAGGATGCATAAAGGGTCTTAACAGCCACATATCCATCAAGAATTATATTGAGACTATGTTGCATTCAATTGGCAAGTAAAACAAAATGGAAAAGCAGTGACATAAACAAAAGAAATCTCTTATCTAAAATGAGTCTTAGTTTCTTACCAGGATCAACTATTGCAAGACGTTTATCCCGGGACAGAGATTGTCTTTCTTCCTGGTTAAACATCCTGTCAATCATTACCATTTCTGCTGAAGGATTTATCCTCTGGAAAAGAAAACAAATAAACAAAATCAGCTCCCATGCTACAAACAAAAAATGTTATGCTCCTGTTTTCAAGCTAATTATTGAAGTTATATGGGAACCATTTCAATATCATATCACAGTACAAAACAATGTAACACAACACAATACATAAAAACAGAACTTTGTCAGGATCCAAAAGAAGAGCCTTCTCTGCTGCAGTGCCTGCCCTTTGGAACATCTTACTCTCTAAAGTAAGATCTTCCCCCACCTTTCTTCCTTCCACAAGAGCTAAAGACCTGGCTCTGCTGATTGGCTTGGGTCCAAATAGGGGATAGCTCAATGCTGGAAGTGATTGCTGGATTAATGGCAGACTCCACCTCCACCCCCTTCTCTGCTCTCTACACATCCATCTTTCTTTTTTGTTAATCATGTGATTGTATTCTCATTATGTTCTCTTTCATTGTTTATTTTATTGTTCTATTATCTTACTTCAGTTCTTTTCATTTCTTTCTTTTTATTGTTGTAAGCTCCCTAAAGTAGCCCCATGGTAAGACAGGTAGCATATAAATTTAATAAATAAATAAATAGTATTAACAGTTCCAGTGACTGCTGCACCCAATGTCCCTCCAGTGGTCACAGGATTGCATTTCAGACACTTGACAACAATCAGCTGCAGGGTTCCACAGTCAAGTTTCCAACAAAATGGATTTACTTAACAGCCACCTGCTTCACTTAACAACCACATGAGTTCTTTAACCATCATAGTGAATTGCTTTACAACCATCATAAAAATGGTCATAAAATCATGAAATGATCCATTTAAAAAACTGCAATGACTTAACAACCAAAGGAGGGAGCAAGGAAATGTGGCAATGGTCAAAGAGGATGTGCAAGAGCACAGTACAAGTTGGGAAGGGTGCATGGGGTGTGCAAGCAGCCAACGTGGAAAGAGTTTGGAGAGGCTGGGGGTGATCCACAGGTAAGGGAGACTATTCCAGCCTTCCCTGCCAGACTACTCCCACTGACTTTCCAGGGAAGCCACCAGGGAAGGTCGCAAATGGGAATCATGTGTTTGAGTGAGGCTGCAACTGTTTGTAGGATAACCCGGTTGCCAAGTGTCCTGACTGCAGTTTTATGACTACAGGAATACTGAGCACTCCGAGGACTAATCATAATCACCATTCATTCAATACTACTGTTAACTTTGAACAGTTGCTGAATAAATTAACCTGCCTGCAGAAATTGTGGGTGCTCCAACACTGTACGTTTTTAAGAAGAGACTGGACAACCATTTGTCTGAAATGGTATGGGTTTCCTGCCTGAGCAGGGGGTTGGACTAGAAGATCTTCAAGGTCCCTTCCAACTTTAATATTATTATTATTATTATTAAATGGTTGTAGGTCAAGGACTAACTGTAATTTGAAATGGGTGACTGCAAATGAGGACTATGTTCTACAGCTAAGAATTTCACACCTTTGTAGTACTCTCAATTAAAAAAATGGGTCCCCATGCTAGCTACTTAAAATGAAAGACACTTTGAAGCTATTTTATATCTTGGAAATGAATCAACTTTGCTTCCCTTGACTCATTACATTTACATGCAGTATTAATCACACGGTTAATGTTACAACTAGTTTGGCATGAAAAAACATATATAATTATTTTTCATTGGTCTTACCATTGCATCTTCCAACAGAAGACATCTGTATTTATTTAGCATTGACTGTGTTCTTTTCAGAAGCTGTGTTGCTGCAGATTCAAATTCATTATCCACTGAAAGGCATTAAAACACATTTAGATAGTCATCTTTAAACTCTAAAATATTTATAATAATCTTTTTCTTTCATTTTCCATTATATGCATAACATATAACTTATCTGATGTTTATCAGCCCCCCCCCCCAATACACACATCTTTTTCAAAATAGTAGAAAGGGGAAAATACCTTTCCTTAAATCCTCTTCAGTTGGCAGTGATCCCTGGCACACATGATATGAAAGAAGTCTCTGGACTGCATCCCTTAAAGATCTGAACTGACTTTTGTCAGGAGCTACAGCCTGTGCCTGGTCTTTCTGTAATTGCTGTAGAATGCTAGTGGAAAGAAAGTAACCATCAGTCATTTTACAATGACATCTGGAACAATTTTGAAAAATTTGTGAAGGGCAAAACAAAACAAAAAGCTAAAATGTATATAGAAGAGAAATTAACTTACAAGGCTCCTTTGGTTAACTGTTTAGCAGCAGGCCTCTTTTGTCCTACTATATGACCATCCACCTAAGTCCAAAATACATTATGTTACATTAGGATAATCTTTTATTAAAAGAAATTATAGTTTTGTACATTTCAAAGTACTACTACTTTCTATAAACTGCATTAATACAAATTTGAACTGCTTATGTGTCACATATGAAAATAAATAAAATGGTTTATATAGAGAACAATTACAATCTTAGACACAATTGCCTTTGAAAATTTTCAAACATAATCCTCTTTATCAGTAGGATATGCCTGTATAAACAAGTATAAAATCGAAGTGTACTTTTTATGGTGTGATCCAAGGATTACTAAAGTATTTAAAATTTATAATGGCAAATACCACCAAATATCTAAAGTATTGTTTAGTTTCATACAATTTCTCTAAGAGACTTTTAAATACCCTATCATAGATTTCATCACAAATCTCCTTTTCAAGATTAGTGAATTCAAGCAAATGACAGCAAATATGCTAATGCAGTGTTCCATGACACAATATTTCATTACTCCTGTAAGTGAGATTACGCCAATAAACCTTTCATTTTTTATAAACACAAAAGAGAAAGTTCTGTAAACAAATAAACAGGAAATTTGTCTATATTATTGTTTAGCTTCATATAATATTTCAAGCGATATATAGTAATAGTAATAAAGTTGGAAGGAACCTTAGAGGTCATCCAATCCCCTACTCAGGCAGGAAACCCTATACCATTTCAGACAAATGGCTGTCCAGTCTTTTAAAAACTTCATTCACAACTTCTGGAGGCAGGTTGTTCCACTGATTAATTGTTCTAACTGTCAGGAAATTTCTCCTTAGTTCTAGGTTGCTTCTCTCTTTGGTTAGTTTCCATCAGTTGCTTCTTGTCCTGCCTTCAGGTACTTTGGAGAATAGCTTGACTCCCTCTTCTTTGTGGCAACCTCTGAGATATTGGAACATCGCTATCATGTCCCCCCTCGTCCTTCTCCTCATTAAACTAGACATACCCAATTCCAGCAACCATTCCTTATATGTTTTAGCCTCCAGTCCCCTAATCATCTTTGTGGCTCCTCTGTACTCTTTCTAGAGTCTCAACATCTTTTTTACATCCTGGGGACTAAAACTGCATGTAGTATTCCAAGTGTGGCCTTACCAAGGCATTGTAAGGTAGTATTAATACTTCACGTGATCTTGATTCTATCCCTATGTTAATACAGCCTAGCACTGTGTTGGCTTTTTTGGCAGTTGCAGCACATTGCTGGCTCATATTTAAGTGATTGTCCACTAGGACTCCGAGATCCCTCTCACAGTTACTACTATTGAGCAAGGTACTACCTATACCAGGGGTAGGCAACCTTGGCTCTTTTATGACTCGTGGACTTCAGTTCCCAGAATTCCTGAGCCAGCCATGCTGAGGGGAAAGGGAGAGGTTTCCATGCTGAGCCATGCTGGCTCAGAAATTCTGGGAGTTGAAGTCCACGATTTATAAAAGAGCCAAGGTTGCCTACCCCTGACCTATACTATACCTGTACAATTGGTTTTTCTTGCCTAAATGTAGAACATCTTTTTTTTCACCATTGAATTTCATTTTGTTACATAGCACCCAATGTTCAAGTCTGTCAAGATCCTTCTGTATCTTAAGCCTATCTTCTGGAGTGTTGGCTATTCCTGCCAGCCTGATGTCGTCTGCAAATATGATGAGTTCCCCATCCATCCCCTCATCCAAATCATTGGTGAAGATGTTGAAGAACACTGGGCCCAGAACAGAGCCCTACATGCTTCCCTCCATGTAACTGCAGTTCCATTGAGTACGGTCGGTCAGCCAGCTATGAATCCCTCTGGTGGTGATGCTGTGTAACACACATTTTTCTATCTTATCAAGTAGTAGATTGTAATCTTCTTTATCAAACGCCTTACTGAAGTCCAAGTAAATTATATCCATAGCATTCCTCTGGTACACTAATTTGGTTGCTTTGTCAAAGAATGCAGTAAGTTTTGTCTGGCATGATCTGTTTTTGACAAACCCATGTTGTCTTTTGCTAATGACTTTGTTTGCCTCTAGGTGTTCACTGATTTGTTGCTTGATTATCTTTTCCAGAATCTTCCCAGGTATTGAGGTCAGCCTGATAGGTCTGTAATTTCCTGGGTTCCTTTTTTTTTTCCTTTTTTGAAGATGGGAACTACATCAGGTTTTTTTCAGTCCTCTGGTAGTTCCCCAGTGCTCCAGGATCTTTGAAAAATATAGTTCAGTGGTTCTAAGATCACATCTGCCAGTTCCTTAAAACCCTTGGGGTATAATCCATCTGGTCCTGGTGATTTGAACTCGTCTAGGCTGGACAGGTGCTCATTTACCATTTTCTTGCCTATCTTAACTTGTGTTTTTAATCTGTTTTTTACAGTACTGTTTTTGATAGGTTGGACTGTTTTATCCCTTTGTGTAAAAACAGAGATTTCCAAATGTACTATTACAGATTTCTTCACAAATCTCCCTCCTCAAAATTATTTTCAATTGCAAAACAGGAAATGATTTGCGTAAGAAAAGCGGGTAATTTTTTCCCCCTACCTGCACATTTGTTTGAGCAAGTGATGAACCTGCTATTTTTTCCGGGTGCGGTAACACTGTTCCTATAGGTTGTTGTATGATTTTGGCATCTTGTCCTGTAAATATACTCACAGTGAAGATTCTTGACATTACACAAAGCATTACACATATTTGAATCTTCCACCTAAATATACATCACTGAAAGATATTAAATAAACTGTCACTAGGAGTGTTTTTATGTAACTATTCTAGACCAGCGGTCTACAACCTTTCTGGCTTGGTGGCCAGGCATAGGGGGGATGGTTCCGTGTGAGTGGCAGGTGAGTGTGTGCATGCGCACAGCTCTATTTGTGCTTGCGCAGCCTAGTTCCAAATAGGCCATGGCCCAGTAGTGGGCCACGGCTCATAGGGTGGGGGGCCCCTGTTCTAGACTATAAAATACAGGTAGTCCTTGACTTACTACCACAACTAAGCCCAGAATTTTGGTTGTAAGTTGTTGCCTTCTCTCTCCTCCCACCATTTTTGAAAAGACTGGCCTCTCTTGCCCCACCCCTCCAGGAAACCTGCTGTAGGCTAGAAGGCCTCAGCCATCTAGACCCAGTGGTGCATGGAAATTGCCATGGGTCAGAAGGAGATAGACAGCTAGAATTTGCTGCAGGCCTCAGCCATCTAGGACCAGCAGTGTACAGAAACCTGCCTCCGACTGGATCCCCCAGCCTGCTAGGTAGGCCCAGTGGCACAAAGGCCTCATGCCTCAATACCATTCCCAAGAAACCTAGCTTTCTCCCTTTCTGTTTCTGGCCAGTCTTGAGGAAGAATGCCTTTCCTAGCTTTCTAACTGAAGTTCGGGGGGGGGGGGAAGGAGGGAGGAGGCCTATGCATGACTGGGCCTAGCCAGCTGAAACCTTCCAGATGTGTTAGGGCACAGAAAATATCAGGCCGCACTGGAGTGGTGTGAGAAAACAGAAAAGACTCACGTGCTGCTGGACCTGGCTGGCTGACACCTGCCCATGCCTGGTTTCTGTATATCGGTGGGCACTAGGCCTCCCAAGACTTCCCCCACCCTCTGAGGCAGCCCTCCACGGTCAGTTAACCCACCCAGTCACTTAATGCGATAGGAAAGTATAGCAGCATGTATTTCTGAAAAAAATACTATAAAATAAACATCTTTATGCTATATATGCAAATATTTCTAACACCATGTTCACATATATATCATCAAATAACTTATATTTTATAAAACATTGCCATAAGTTTATAAAATTACTGAATCACTGATACTAGCCAAAGAAACTTGTCAAATGCACTTTTAGATTTTAATTCTAACCCTTTCTTGTCTATGTATATCAGTAATATATAGTACTGTAATATCTACTTACAACCCAAACTTTTCAATTAATACTTAAGATAATATCAGTATGAAGTCATTCTGATAAATTAGAAAGAAATTAAAATCTAATAAACTAAATTACCTAAAAGATTTGTTGACTGTGGTTGTCTCAAGCTGTCCTGTGATTTTGATGATGCAACCGAAGATGCCAGGTTGATTCCTTTTTTTTGAGCCTGCAAAGATACAACAGAGACACATCACACATATAATTAAAGATGTTTAAAAAGAAATAGTCCATATAAAAAAATACATAAGTAGCTGAGTTCCACATCAGTTTTGCCCACAAATTTTAACCACAGTTATTGGATGCACTACAACAGCTTCATTCAGGCATCATACTAAACCAGAAATCAGAAACCAGAAACACCTAACATATTTCTCATAGTGAGAGGTGTATGTCCACTGGGGATGGGGGTGAGGTAAGGTAAAAATGCTTTCAGGCTTTTTTGGAAGGGCTTAAAATCATTATGTCTTATCAATTCTTTGAGTGCTAGACTTCCAAACTACTTGTGATGTAATTAGAATTAAGGCTATTTGATTTTGGTATTACTTAACTGAAGACTGACTCTCCTTCATTCATAGAGTTGAACTTCAACTAATTATATTCAACTTACATCCTAAATCTTTATAATTGAATTAGTGCACAATATGGATAAAATCCTTTTTTCTTATCTTTCATTTTTATACAAATGGTTTATTCATTCTCTATATACAAATTTCAATAAATAACATTTAATTGTTAGTTGCAATAGTTAATTCAAATATCACAAAGTTTATGACTTAGCATGAAAGCAACCCACAGCAAGCCTGGAATCATCTACTTCCCTCTATGCCTTCTTTATTGGGTATATGAGAGTAAATTGGAAATATCCATTTAAATTCCATTTTTAACATAAAATAGTATTATGCTGAAATCCTAAACTGTGGTTAATCTTGCCTTTGATTAATGAAAATAAAGCAATTCAGAAACTGCAATTAATTTAAAATAAAAATGAGTAGTTCATTGAATTCTGACATTCACTGTAATTCATTATAACATGGAGTTCATCAAATATAGTTTTAAATGAATACACATCTAAGCCAGTAATGAACCTTATTTCTATGAAATCACATTTTTAATAAAAATAATTCCATGTGAATAAAAAATGAAAGTTGGTATTATCGTATCAATAAAGCAGCAAAGGTATTTCAAAATACTGCTTAATGTTTAGAAATACAGGTGGCATGATCATACCCCATCCCGCATCATTAAAGAAACTATACATTTATGGAACATTTTTGATCTTGTGAATCATACCTGTCCAAAAGAAAATGGTGACTGGGTTACTGACGTTTGACTAAAAGGGCTGACAGGTTTTGAAGAAACTGGAAGTCGATGTGATACACTGACTGACAACTGAGTTCTATTTTGCTGTGTAAGTTGATCTCCAGCAAAGCTTCCACTTGAAGCTACAGACTGAGCTGATGAGCCAATGTTTGGATGTACCGTAGCAGAGGAACTCACAACAGTAAAACGATTACTTGAAGATATATTTGAACCAGTTGCCTGTCCAGGAGACGCTGCTGAATATCCTGTTCTGCCTTGGGAAAGGTTTCCTTGGTTTGGGGATAAATGTAATACAGCAGGAGAGGATTGTTGTAGTGGAATCTGACCACCAACAATTTGAGAAGTTCCATGGTTGACTATAACTTGGTTTCCAGAAGGAGCAAATGTCTGACCAGAAACTAACTGTACAGCATTCTGATTATTCAGCATTTGTCCTGAATATGCTTGGTTACTTCTGAGCATATTCGCAGAGTTTCTACTTAACATAACATGCTCAGTGGATACTTGGCTGGGAACAAGTTGTGAAGACTGATTCTGAAGCAGCTGTCCATTTACAGTCTGGACATGGTGAACTGGACTGGGATTTACAGACAGACTTGTTGGTATAAGAAACTGATTCTGAGATGCATGAGGCTGTCCCATTGGAGAATGGATAACAATGCTACCGCTGGCATTACTTACTGTTTGGGGAGTAACTGGTTTTCTTGAATTTTGCTGACTAACAATATTAACAGACATATGTGGACCAACTACTGAATTCTGAGGTGAATTTGATGAAGCAAAGGGAATTCCTTGTTGTACGTGATGCTGTTGTATTCCTAAACTATTTACATTGTAAGTGGCTTGCTGTCCCATCTGAATTGGTTTGGGTTGAATATTGATGGGAATTTTGTTAGAATTTGGAGCAAGACCCCTCTGTATAATGATGTTGTGTACAGGCAAAGATGCCTGAAAATTTGTACTATTAAATGGAACAGTTACAGGTTGTGCTACTGAGCTTGAATTTGAATTGCCAAACAACGAATTGCCATTAGGAGTTTGTCTATGAACCAAAAGTCCACCACTCATATTTGCAGGTGCTTGTTGGCCACCACCCTTCAATATAATATGAGATCCTTCAAGATTATTTATGGCCATCATAGAAGGTTGATTACTAAATGAACCAATGAGTTGTATTTGTCCAGAACTACCAATCTGACTATTTGACAAATGCTGACTGGGAACACTGATCCCCACATGTTGCATAAAGCCATGTTGCACACCAACTGTATTGCTTGTAAAAGATGATCCAACTGGTGGTTGTACTACTTGAGTAACTCCAATAGGTTGCAACGTTTGACCTGAGTAATTAGAAACATTAGAAGCCTGAGTAAAAGATGCTGATGAGGAAGGATGAAGTTGTGTTTGTGCAAACTGTTGATTGGAGCTTATGTTGGCATCCAAATAAGCCTCTTCTGCCAAAGTCTGCTCAGTAATATTAGCTTCTTGCAAAGATTTCTGGAGGATATCAAAAGGCTGATCTTCACCAAGATCAGGCAATGGAGATGATTCAAGTTCATCATCAAGAAACTGAAGAGTACTTGGCAACTGTAGTCCATCATTAGACCCTTCTCCAAGCTGACCACCAATACCTTTGATTGATGACTTAGGATCAGAGCTCTGAAAGGAAAAAATACAATAAAATGTCTTCAATCCTTTTTTAAAAATGCCAAATGTACAGCATAGTTCACTATAATTATTTTCCTTTTCTCGGGTTTATTATTAGAACAAGAAACATTACTGTTGTACAACACTGTGAAATAATCCTAACATTTTTTTCAATAAGGTTCTCAGACAGGATTGTTGGCATATACTCATTTATTTCTACAGAGATCCTGTGAAGGATTAGTTAAAAGTAGCCTGAGAGCTCTGAATCCACAGACAAGAAACTCTAAAGCCAAATCCAACAAATCTGGTTTTAATTACCCATTTCACAACAGGATAAAGATACTGGTATGCAAAGTATATAAATTGACAGCAAGAGCTTAATATATATGAGTACAACATTCTGCTCTTTCTTAGCCCCTCTATTTAATCATTTGAATATTGCAGCATATTTTTCAACTACAATTTGTAGTTATTTAAGGCACCGGCAGCATATTATCTACTTTATATGATCATTAAAAAGCTACAGCTGTTTACATTTTATATTTTTCTTTAGAGAAAAATATAAAGTTGATTCGGGAACAAATCAGATTGGACTAAAGTAATGTAGAACTGATCAAACTATTCCCAGAAGTCTAGATCTAAAATATCTCTGCACCCTCCTAATAATATGTACACTATATATATATCAGCAGTAACAAAGACACTCTATAAAGTTTAACTTTTATCTAATTGAAAATCTATCATGACATTAAACATTAGAGCTTTGCCATGTCATGAAATCACACTTTGGATCTGAAGGAAAAAACTACTCCAGAGTACGTACAAGGATTTTATGGCAACTCCTTAAAGCAGCTTGGTCTTCTCCAAGGACCACTCAGCTGCCTTCTGCAACTGCAGCATAAGCTCTGGAAAATATATGTTTTGTTTAGGTGCTATGTGGGTGCCTAAATGCAGTCTGAAACACCCTTAAAGTGTAAAGCACTGTATAATCCTGCTACACATCATCTCAACCTGTACTATTTAGCTAACAAGTCCAGAGAGTAGAAGGTCATCACAATTTTTATTCTTGGTTAGAATCTGATATGTCTGAATTGCAAAACTAGAAGTAATAAAGAAAAAACAATATATTATGAGTTCAACTGAGCTACAAATTCTGCTATAACAAATCAAGTTATATTAAGAGGTAATTCTGGATCACTTCTATCAGTCTCATTAATTTTTCTAATAGAGAGGAAGTAGAAGAAATTTTAGTAACAACTTTACCATTTTTCTTGGTAAAATTTTCTTATACTGTAGCTTGTTCTAACTAGATATCCGCTCAGTTTCTAAATTTTAACAATTTGCATATGCAGGCTGAATAGAATTCACAAGACTAAATACTATGGGAAGAATAGCTTCCTATTGTAATTCATTTCAGGTATATAAATACAGTGATATCAAAATCTGGGAGAATAACTATTCATTAATATCACTAATAAAAATATTATATATATAGACAACATAGGAAGTTGATCTCATAAGATAATCAGTAACTATTTTTATTCCATTCAATTACATATAATATAAACAATGCAATTAGTCTATAGAATCTACAATAACATCGTATATTTCTTCTCTATACTTACACTGGTATTGGCAAAAATGGAATTTGAGTTGGCTGCAGAATATCCTATGTTACTCAAGTCTTCACTGTTCTGTGACAAGATAAAAAAAAATAAACTAAGAGCAATACATTTGGGACACAACTTTCCTCGTAATCTAATAAGAGTCTGATCTTTAAGAGCTAACATCTAACATTAAATTTTTCTTCCCACTATTTTTCCATCAACAATTGTGCTTATTCTTTCCAACTTCAGGAAACTATTGTAGCCTCAGAAAGATTCAAAGAGAGACACAGAGGGAAGGCATAGGACAAGATAGAAGAAACTTTGGATCTAAAAGGTTTTAAAAACCTCCTAGTTCTCTGCCACATAAACTTGAGAAGTGTTAAAATGTAGACCTCTCTTACATTATTGCTCACTGGGCACAACGTAAGATTTCTTTTAAGTGGAAAGAAAAAAAAATGCAGAACTGCAAGCCCACATTTCTAGTTTGCTGTGATAAACCTTGCATATCAATGAATTTGCTTTAAGATTCTATGGGCACACTTCTAGCAACCCCAAACAATTGTTAACAAAATTAAACGTACAATAAGATAACATAAATAACTTACAGATTTACTTCCCCCTCCGTGTAGAAAGTAATTCAGTGCCTGTGGATCTCTAAAATATAAATAAACAAGAAAAGTGAGATAGACCGGTTTAAACATTAAAGCATTTTAAAATATAAAAGCTGCTAAAATTTAGATTGTTTCAATAGGTAGCAGCACATGTCCTTTCTCCTGTAGGCTTGGAAGGTTAGCAGATTTGGACCAGGTTAGCATTTGAATGGGAACTACCAAGGAATAGCTGAACTAGAGGCTAAACTGAGAAATCAACATCCCAGAAAGCTGCAACTGTAAACACTTTCATATTGTTACACACACACATTCCAAAATGCATGGTTGTGGCCTTGTAACTACCCAAAGATGAAGTTGACCTGAGGACATATTTATATTTAAAATATAAATTGACTTATAAATAGAAACTATTTTTTAAAATTATACTGCAACTGTGTCCCCCAACTGTATATTTTAGAGTATTCATTTCTTGTATAAGCAAAAAACCTAGCTTGTATCTGGAAACATATCTATAAGATACATTGTTATCATTCTCTTTATAAGACTTAATTGCTACTACACTTTTAAACATTCATGATTTATTCTATTTATTCTATCAAGTCCATACTGAAATTTATCTTTTTCATCTTTTGGCTTATTTTGATATTTCATATGTCCAAGAGAATTTCTATAGCGTTTTTGTATAAATGATACAGTAAATTATTTTTGTTGTTGTTAGTTGCGAAGTCATGTCCGATCTATCGCGACCCCATGGACATTGTTCCTCCAGGCCTTCCTGTCCTCTCCCATCTTCTGGAGTCCATTTAAGCTCACGCCTACTGCTTCAGTGACTCCATCCAGCCATCTCATTCTCTCTTGTCCCATTCTTCTATCGCCCTCAATCTTTCCCAGCATTAGGCCCTTCTCCAGAGAGCCCTTTCTTCTCATTAGGTGACCAAAGTATTTGAGTTTCAACTTCAGGATCTGGCCTTCTAAAGAGCAGCCAGGGTTGATCTCCTCTAGGACTGACCGGTTTGAACGCCTTGCAGTCCAAGGGATTCGCAGGAGTCTTCTCCAGCACCATAGTTCAAAGGCCTCAATTTTTTTGCACTCAGCCTTTCTTACGGTCCAACTTTCACATCCATACATTGCAACTGGGAAAACCATGGCCTTGACTATACGCACTTTTGTTGGCAGGGTGATGTCTCTGCTTTTTAATATGCTGTCTAGATTTGCCATAGCTTTCCTCCCCAGGAGTGTCTTTTAATTTCTTGGCTGCAGTCCCCATCTGAGGTGATCTTGGAGCCCAGGAAAATAAAATCTGTCACTACCTCCATTTCTTCCCCAACTATTTGCCAGGAATTGAGAAGGCCAAATGCCGTGATTTTGGTTTTCTTAATGTTGAGTTTCAAGCCAACTTTTGCACTCTCTTTCTTCACCCGCATCAAGAGGCTCTTTAGTTCCTCTTCACTTTCTGCCATTAGAGCGGTATCATCTGCATATCTTAGGTTGTTGAGATTTCTCCCAGCAATCTTAATTCCAACTTTTGATTCATCTAGCCCTGCCCTTGTCATGATGTGCTCTGCATATAAGTTAAATAGGCAGGGCAACAGAATAAAGCCTTGCGGGACTCCTTTCACAATTTTGAACCAATCATATAGGTTTCTCAAGAGACAAATAAGATGCTCTGGTACTCCCATCTCTTTAAGAACTTGCCACAATTTGTTGTGATCCAGTAGTAAAAACTACTGTTTATCATATATGGTGAATTTTTTCAAGTGATTTTTTCAGACAAATAAATTTCATTGGTTGCCAGTCTTCTATAGATGAAATCTACTACAGCAAGAAAGTTTCAACCTCCAAATCATTAAACGAATTCATGTGACCATCTATTGCCTGCTAGATACTCAGAAAGACTGATTCACTAGGTGGCTGTTATTTAAACTCACAAAGAATTTGAGGAGATTCTCAATGTATTATTTATTTCCTTGCATTTGTTTTTCTGTTCCATTTAATTCTGCATGAAGTATATAAAGCTTTACCAACAATCTTCTCTTCAACATCTGCATAATTTTATAAGGCTACTGTATTATCATACTTTAAGTCATGCCCTAGGATTAAGAGAACTTAGATGTTCGGTTTTGCTTTTTATATTTAAAATAGATGAAAATAAAAATTATGGGATGCAAATATGTAAATATATATGAAAATATTTTCCAATATGAAAATGACTGTTTTTAAATATTAAATTAAAAGGATGAAAGGCCTGCTCTATAGAACAGAAACAAATGAATGGGTGGCAATATAAACAAATGCGGATTTTGCTCATAAAAATCATGGAAGTCTATAAAAATTAGCTTGAAAAATTAGTTGTTACTTGAGAGGAGCTTTCTTAGTGAATTTTTATGTGAATGTCTAAACAGGGCTTACCTCATTCTACTTTCCCATGCTGTCAGTTACCTTATTACTTGCCTTATCTCCATTCAATTTTGTTCCCTGCCCCTTCCCCTTTCTACTGCAACTTTCTTTTTTTTATATTTTTACTATCTTCTTTTATTTTTTCTCCTGCAAGGTCAATTTATGCATATCAGAGTGGTCTTTGAGTTTGATTCTATCTTTTTTGGAAGCTAATTTCTGAAAGTTATTCATAACAAGAATGTTGTAGTACACCTTTATGGGGGTGCAGGGAATCTCCAGGATTGATTTCAGCTGAACATGGCAAACCTAAGGTTCGGCAGACAACACAGGATGTTTAACCTCTTTTTTTTTCTACTTTTCTTTTGGTGGATGGATTTGATCTTAAATTTAGGGTCATATTTTATGGAAGTTGAGTAATTGATTTAATGTGATTTATGTATGCATTATTGATGATAGACTATGATTTCATGTGTAAATTCTAAGTAATTCAAGCTACTTTAGGTACCGTATATTCCGGCGTGTAAGGCGACCCGGCGTATAAGATGACCCCCAACTTCGGTACCGAATCGCATGCCTAGAAAGTCGTCTTATATGCCAGAAACTACCGTTATTTCCGGCGTATAAGACAACTCAGCGTATAAGACGACCCCCGACTTCGGCAACGATTTTAACGCTTGCGAAAGTCATCTTATACGCCGGAAAGTATGGTAATTAAAATGGGAAAAGTTGAAAATATGTGAGGAAATAAAATAAACTGATACAAATTTTATTTCATTTTCATCATGAATATGAGCAGAGGTAAATAGTCTGCAGAACACTGCTCTCATAATAAAGTGAGTTCTTTTCACCAGTTCTGCTTCTGCAGTTTAATATGTCCCTAAAAAACAATTTTAAAACTTCATCTGGAACGGTGAAGAATGGCAAGAAATACTGGAAGCTGCAGGAAATAAAGGGAAATTACAAAAACCACAATCTTCCCTACTTCCTTTTGAATGAAAACCTATTCTAAATCCAGATTCCTTGAAAAAAATCATTTATTTATTACTGTGAAATAAAATTATGCTTCAGAGGATAAAGTTTTAACTGAAATTGCTTATCAAACTAGCTTTCCTTTTAAAATGAATTTTGAATATTTTTCAAGGACAAGTGTCTAAAATAAAATCTTACCCGATAAGATCAAAGAGACAGGCTTCATCATCATCATCATCCATGACAACTAAGAAGACAATAAAGTATTCATATTGTATCATAAGACATATTTCAAATTCTATTTTTATGAAAGACTGCTTTATGTAAGAAATTACAAAATACATTTACCATGGAAGTGTTTTTACCATGCTAATTTATTATATTGGAAGATGGCTATGTAGTAGGCTACATCCAATAATATGGAAGCTTATTAATAATTTTTCTTATTGTTACCCTTTCCCTCCACCATCCATACCTCTGAAGAACTATTTAGATCTGTTCCAAAAATCCTCCCAATCCTTCAGATATTTGAGGTGTACTGAATGCAATGGGTTAACATTAGGATTACATGTTCAATCCTAACACTAATCTGTATCTGTAATACAAGCTAGGTATAGATATATATGTCTATTTCTGGACTGCAGCCTAAAACAGAAATTAAGTCTGATCCAGATTAAACCAGAATCCAATTTGTATTGGTACCGTATTTCAGTTTTTCTTTCCCAAAATATTGTCATGGAAAAAATAGTCAAAATATAATGTGGCTACCATCCCCAAAATATTTACCTGTTTTTGTCTTGTAGATTCAGTGTGGAACTAAATTGAATGATGTTCCATTGATCTTTTTTGTGTTCCATTTGTTTGTTTAGCCTCTGAATGGCTTGTTTTTATTGCATTTTAGCTAATTCACAACTTTATACTGCTAATTCATTTTTGTCACACACATTATAAATAATAAAGTGTTAGGTGTGTGTAAGAGTGTTTCCAGCTTTATGAGATGAATTGTTTGCTTGCTACATGTTAGGTTTATCAGATGGCTCACAACAAATAATTCCCAAATCTCAAGTATATTTGCCCATTTCTATTTTTCTAACTCAAGACATTTGCCAAATTCAGATTGATTGCATTATTCCCTAACATATTTTACTATTTCATCCAAATGAATTAACAGCACTGACTTCTGCTGATTCAAGCTCATTGTAGAATAATATGTCCATGACTAATCCTAAATCACCTGAAGTGCATCCATATGAAGCTTTGTTCAGGGAATTCTACAGACATCTAGTTGTACACTCCACATTTTCAAACATTTTTCCATCTTCCAATCAAGAATCTTATAGCTTCAATTTTGATCACGGTTGCTATTTTTTTTCTCTCTTAAAATCTTTCCAATAGATGGAAAATATGTAATAAATCCAGAGCCTCTGAACAGCAGATAGTGACAAGGTGGAACATATCTTTTAAGGTACAAAAGTTCTCTCAGATTTGGACATGACACATCAACATGTGGTTCACAATGGTTTTCAAAAGTCTCCTGTGTGAAGCTGAAATCTTTTGAGATTCTCTTTATATGCTTTTAGGTATTGTGATATATTGTGAAGGATATAAGCAGTTAGAGAATATAACCAATAAAACATTTCCTCTTCATCTCATGTACAGACTTTATTACTCTTAAAGGCATAGGAGAGTCAGAACGAAGAGATATCTAATCTACCTTCCTGCATAGAAGCTCAATTATCTCCTCTGCCTGGATCTTGTAGCAATTAGGATTTTGTTCTGGAATATAATGGCTGCATAAAAGATAAACGGTTTAAAGACAACTGCACCTCCTAGTTTTAATTGGTCTTGTTTTCCTGTCATAGTTTTCAAAGGCAAGGTAATCTGCAAAAGAACATGGTGTAACTGACATTTATCATTAAATACAACTTGTTTCTCCTGTTCTATCCATCCTGTTCCATTTTTTTTGTTTGTGTTTATCCCACCTTTTTTTCATATAAAACTTAAAGTGGAAAATATACCAATACTTCTTCCTTCCTTCTACCTTCTCAACAACCCTATGACCTGGGCTAAGAGAACATGACTGACCCAGTCACTTAACTGGTCTTTCATGCCTAAAGACTGAAAGTCAGTTTCAAGGTTTCTAGGTCAGCATCTTAACCACTACACCAAACTGGCTTTTTTTTCCTTCTTTCCTCAAATTTATTGTATCTTTGTGGATTTGTATACAACATCTTTTAGGGATGTTTAATCTGATCAACTGCATTCTCTCTATATATTTTCACGTTTTATTTAAAATCATGAAATGGTTTGTTTGGCATATTGTAAACTCAGCCAAATTTTATTAAAAGAAACAGGTTTAAAAAAACCATAGATTAGTACAGAGTGAATCCAATATTTTTCTAGACAATAGATCCATCTTCTATATTTATATGCCAAATTATTCTTTGAAATAAAAGGAAACCCATTATGTTACTTAAAATGGATTCACATTTAATATTATTTTGATATATTAATAATCAATGGACACTGTGTTAAGATTCAGAATCCCCAGATAGCTTACTGCATAGTAGTATTTCAAGGATGAATTAGTATTATTACAAACATTTTCCTCTTAATTTGTCTCCCTTGTTATAAAGAATATGTACAAGTTTTATTAATATGTATATTTCAGCCATTGGCTTAAAATATAAAATAAAGTATCAAATATTACTCTTTTCTTATTTAGATAGATAGATGGAAGAGACATGAATACAAATGACACAAACGCCTATGGAGTATGAATGTGTGATTCTCTATATAGAATTTGCGTTCCTCTAATCAAATGATAGAGAAACCATTCCCTAATCACATTTCCACTTACTGGGTTGCTCATATACTATAGTACAATGATTTTTGCCCCTCAGAAGTTACTGACGCAGAATGTCATGTATCAGTCCCACTACATATTAAATGTGCTTGTAAATGGTTGTTTTTTTTTTTGTTGTTTTTTTTTGGTAATTTCCACTGGAATACAGGAAATTGGAAACATCAGTTTTACTCCTGATAATTTATTTTGTGATAAATTGTCAAGTTATTTGCTAGCTTGCATTTATGGTTCTGGTCTTGTAAACAGTGTGGCAGACATAATAGTAGCTATAGCCTCTCTAGATTGTGAGCTTAAAGCTAGATGATATCATCTGCCTTACGTTTCCCAATATATTGCTTCAGCAACTGCCCAGTTCATATACTGGAATAGGGACATATAGAAAGTAAGTTGAGCAAATTGGCAATTGTTAACAACTGCCACATTATTCTTTAGATTCAAAATAAAACCAAAAAATCATCTGTACATTTCATCAAGTCTACAAAGGCATGTATACATACACTAAATCTTTCATAGCATTCTTTGTTTTGTAACAAAGTAAAACAAATGTGATCATTTATCAGTGATAAATTCTAGCTAAAAAGTGAGAAAAATAGAACAATTTATTCTATTTGAAACAAAGCAATTTAAATTGTTAGAAACAGAAATGATTACATTATAGATGTAGATGCCTACTTTCCATTATACCAAATTTCAAATTTGCCAGTTTTCTGGTGGGGGGGGTCCATCTATGAAAAAGCGACTGCTGTAAATCAAGATTTATGACTAACAGAATAGGGATGTACAATATAGAACTGTAGCTGATACAAAAAGGTAGCTGTGTATGGGCCTCTCCTATACACCAAATCACTTCTTTAGATTTGAATATGAAGCACTACTGGAGAGCCCAATTACAGTGTCAAAACAAGATGTTTTTAAGTTTTTATTTTTTTTAATTTCTTCAAAACAAATTACACTATTCAAAAATAAATCTAAAATGAGACAACTGGTTGAATATGATTTTTTTCTGTTGTGCTATTATTCTAATAAAGTTAGATCTTTCCAATGAATTGATATATTAAGAACTTTCTTCAAAAGTTTTCTATTTTATCAAAATGACGTAATAAAGACTGTGAATCTGAACAGCTGTGCTACATCTGAATTATAACCATGACTGAGAATATGGGTGAATATTCTCAACTTCATGTGTATTTGAATTCGAAGGCACCACTCCTAAGATTGGCAGAACAAATAAACACATCTCATAAAAGCTATGTAAATTAGTTTAGTAGTCTGGGCCAATTATTAAATGGACAAGATTTATAAATGTTATAAATTGATATTCTCATTATTAGCCTATTCCCATAATTTCTTTCCATCTGTGTTTTATACATGATGTACATTTTTTTTAACAGCCTTAGAAAAAAGAAACAACTCTGGTTGAAAGTATGGTTTACTTTTAGATTCAAGGTGGTTTCTAGCACCATGAGGAAACATTTATAGAATCAGTGTCATCCTCTGAACATAAATACCGTGTTTAAATCCTGGGATTTCTATTTGATAAGATTTGCTGCTGAAAATAAGTTTGAAAAATACGCATGCACATAAATCTAGGCCTAACAAAAACATAATTTACTAAAATATGTATATGCCAGGTAGGAATTCCCAATTAAAATACATTTTTTCACAATGTCTCCTTTCAAAGCTAGTTTCTTTGATGCTATTCAAATTACTTGCCAAATAATAAATCCTCTTCTCTTTCTTTCACGAGACCTAATGAAGGCAGACATTTTATTGAATTTACAATGTAATTTACTAAACTATTAAATGTTTTAAATGGGTGGAGGGGGATTATACAGAACAATGGAGATTAATTCCTTAAAGGAAAACTGAAATGTTATTAAACAATATATCCAAATTGTTTTTTTGCTTGAACCTTTCCTTGGTTTCTGGATATATTTTACACGATACTGTTAAGAGAACTACTAAACCAATGTACTAGACAAAATCCCTTCTAAACAATTGACTAGGCACAATGGTAACTGAACTATCCAGTTTAGAATGCCAAAATACAATGAAAGGTGTTACCTAATGATAAATATTAATACTTAGAACTTTGCTGAAAAACTATTTTTTTATTCATTTATTTCATCAGTTATTTATTAGGAGATAATAATAAACCAAGTCCAAATCATTCTTCTTCCATTGATGATATGAATGGCTCTACAAATAGATGAAATTGATTTCATTACTGTCACATTCTTAAACTTATCAAGACAATTATTTCCTAATATTAATAGTTTCTTAAATGTTTTCAAAAGGTTTTAGTTAATTCTGAAAAATTAGAAGACCAAAGAAAAACTTAATAGTGGGAAATTACTGGAAAATGCAATATATTGACTATTTTTGTCCCCGTTTCTTGTGAAATTTAATGTCTAAAAAAATACCACTTCACCTGCCACTTCAATTAAGAAGCATTCTGAGATTACAAAACTTAATACTTGTGTTTTAAATATACATATTTTACTCCTTCATCAAGTCTTCAGAAATAGAAATGTAATGGCAGTGAAGGTAGGAGAATGTTTAACTATGTTCCCTTACCAGGTTTTCTGGAACAGAACCTCATTGATCCATGTAAAATTGTGTTATTACAAAAAAGAATTTGAAAGGCCATCCAATTTCCCAAGGTCCTCCATTTTTAATCCATAGACCACACAGCTTTTCTTTAAAGTTACTTGCATCAATACAGATGTTTTTCTCTATGTGATTTATACATTCAAGGCTAGACTATTTCAAGGATTTATATCCCAATCTGATGATAATTTCTATAAAAGGAGTTAACATTTAACAGTAATAATCATTGCCATTTGTCCCCATAACCATTATTCTTCATAAGAAGCTAGTTTGTAAATGGAAATGAAGACGGAAGAACTTTTTAAAACAAATATTAGTTGTTATATAGAACAAGAAACCGGACTTAATTGTTAAAAGCATTAAAATATGAGGCACCCTCAACCTTCGTTAAGATTTTCTCTCCAAATTAATGAGTCGCAGTAGAAGATATTTCACCCCTTTAAAAAACATTTCATAAAGGTGAAGAAGGTCGCCGTTTCCATTTTTACTCTACTTTGAGAGAGGGAAAGCAACTCCACGAAATAAAGGAAGACGCCCCAGACGAAGGGGAAAGCCTCTTATTAAAAGCGTTTCAAAATGGCGGCGGAAGGGAACGACAGAGAAGAAACTGCGCCACAAATCCTGGCCAATGGCCAGGCAGCGCCATCTTCCCTTCTCTTTGACTCTCCAGCCGGCGATGCACGAGACCGGCACAGAGAAAAGGGACTCTCTTGTGAGGAAAAATAGACTCTTGTCGACTGAGCTTTGGAAATGCATGTTCAATTCGGAAATTCAATTTAGGGAGGGTGAAATTTAACCCGATAAAAACACAAAGGCCTGAGTTTCCTTCGTCCTTCTCAGCAAAAATCGACCATTTCTGCAACCCTACTGTACTTGCATTCCTTATTAAGAATATTGCCCACTCCTCAACTACTTTCGTTTCGATTAAAAAGGAAAAATTAAAAAGCACCAAAAAATGATCCATCGAGTTTTTAATCTATTCTTTAGATATTTCTCTCCCTCTCTCCCCCCCCCCGTTCTTTAACCAAAACCAATTCAGAATTTTTTGGAAGGTTAATCTCATGCCAGATACATAACACAATCTTCGAAACGCAAAAACGAAAGCCTTGTTACAGATGTAGAATATTTATTATGCTTGCAGCTTAAAAAATATAAATTACAACCGAAAAGGATTTAAATCCTACCGACCCAGTATTACATACACCGAAACAAATCACCATTTCCATTCCTTGAAACAATGACGCAAAGACAAGAAATCGGAGGAAACTGGAGACAAAAAATAGTAAGAAACGAAATTAAGAGAAAAAAAAAATCCCCGTCAAAAAGCGCAACCCATGCTAGAAACGCGGTGAAAATGAATACGAAATAGAAAGAGATGGTCGCTGAAAACAAATCCAAGCGGGAAGGCAAAAGAAAAGAAAAATCCTCGGCAGCCTCCCGCCCAGGAGCGAGAAGACGGAGCGTCTCCATTTTCCTGAGGAGGAAGAAAAAGTGCTCCACAGACCAGAGAGCTTTAGAGAAAAGCAAAGAAACGAGGGGGGAAAAAAAGAGGGAGGAGATTTGAAAAGATTATTTTTCTTTCTCCCTCTCCCTCTCACACACACATACACACTTGATTCCCCTCTTCCTCACAGATACACACACCCTCAGTCACACTCGCAGACACATACATACACTCACACACACTTTCTCTCCCTCTCTCGACGACCAAGGGGGTGGCCAGGAAAAGGAAAAAAAAGCCCAAACAATAACTAATTTTAAACCAGCTCAATCAGTGAGTCATTAAAAGAGGGGCTTTTTTTTCCTCCTCTCCTCTCTACATTTGCATGGCCTCCGCAAGAGAGGGGCAGCCCCCCATCCTCTCCCGCCGCCCACCTTGCAGCTATCAGCCTAGCCCTGAAACCTTATCTGTCCTCTCTCCTCGCTCTCTTTCCCCTCCTTGTTTGCCTCTCCCCCTTTAAGAATCACATTTTGGAGGTGCCCTCAGTAGCCACCACCACAGCCTCTTCCTGTAAAAGAAATAAATATTTCATTTCCATGTGAATTAACATCTGCCCACCAAGCACCACCCGCGCAAAATCGCCCTCCTCCTCCTCCTCCTTCTCCTTTCCTCTCCTCCTCCTCTTCTTTTCTCTTCTCCTTCTTCTTCCTCCCTATGTCCCCTCTCCTCTCTCTCCCTCTCTCTCTCTCTCTCTCTCCAGATATATATTTATATACCTAGCCCCAGAGCCAATAGCTCTCTGGGCTGAAACCTAATATCCTGGTTTTGGCAACTCCTGGTTGTTAATTTGCTCCTCTTTCTTTTCTGTCTAGTCTGGAGATAGATTTTCCCCCCTCTCTTTTCCCTCCCCGAAGGAAGGGAGGAAGGAGGTTGTGTGTTTTTTTTTCCTTGAAATTTTTATCACAAAATTATAATACACTCAAAGGGAAACTCACCGTCATGAAAAAGCAGTGCCTTGTCAACGGGGTTTCTTCGCCATCACATCAGGGGCTGGCAGTGTAAGAGAGAGAGCGAGAGAGCGAGAAAGGGAGGGGGAGAGAGGGAGCGAGCGAGCAAGGAAGAGAGAGCGAGGATAGCGAGAGCCCAGTGCGGGAGTTCCAGCTACAAGGCGAGGAGAGAGGCTCAGAGGCTGCGGGGACGCCGCTACCGCATTCACATACATTATTAGAAGCGGTGGTACTGAACTATCGTTCGCTGCGACTGCTGCTGCTGCGACAGCCTGCCTGCCTGCCTGCCTGCCTTTACGCTGGGCGAAGAAGGCACTTTCGAAAGATTGGGCTTGCTTTGAAAAAAGAAGCTGAGTTAGAGGCTTCAAAGGTATAACCGCTTGACCCTTCGCAAGGAAAGCAAAAACTTTACTTTTGGTTAATCGGGAAATGACTGAGGGTCCTTGTCTAATGGAACGTTGCAATTTACCAACCCCCTTTAGTCCATCGCTGCATTTTTTGAAAAAATAAGAAAAGCACTGCTTTAACTTAAATTCTTTCCTTTTCTTCCCTCCCTCAAATGACGTAAACAAAGGAAGTGGTTTGGAACTATTTAAACGGAACTGAATGTTAGAGGTTTTAAAAAATGAAAGCTGCCCATGCACAGTCCTACCAACTTTATTTGGTCCTGATTTCTTTTTCATTATTATTACTATTCCGTCAATATGCTGTCAAAGTTGCAAGTTGCAATACAGCAAATTTAAGTTTATAGTATAATGCATCTTTTTATATCCCTCAGATCCCCAAAATTGTATCTAGTTAATGCTATCCAAATACAAAGATAAATATAGAAATGAAAATATACTCATTCTTTTGATTTAAAGAGTTTTCTTCATTGTGTACTATAATATTTAAAACTACCATGGATTGATTCAATTTTAATGGACTTCATAAATGTTTCAGAATACTAAGAAAAATATATAAATTTAATATTCAATATTTCTTTTGGGCCAATTTAGAAACAAAGAAAGGCTGAAGTGCAAAGGGAATTTAGATTTGCAAAGGAAAGTTAACTGCAAAAAAGGAGCTCACTTGTCAGTAGGAAAAGAAAGGAAAGTAGCAGCTGTTCAGAGAGGTTGGCAGAATAATAAGAGGTGAAAGGGAAAGAGCAGAGCTTCTCAGATCCTACTTTGCTTCTGTCTTCAACCCCAAGAGGAATTGTGTTGAAATGGACCTATGTAAAACAGTGTGTACAAGTATGGAGCAGCAACTCAGAGTAAATGAATAAGATGTACCCAGCTACCATTAACATGTTTAAGACTCCAAAAAAGCTTAAAGGATTTGCAAAGTCGTTTCAAGACTTCTTTCTATGACCTCTGAAGATCATACAGAATGGGTGTAGTGAAGTAGACCTAATGTTTTCCTGTCTTCAAAAAAGGAGAAAATCAGGAGTTAAATAATTATAGGCAGGACAGTTTGATGTTGACACAAATCAAGGAACAAATTGATCATGGAGTGTTGACAGAGAATCCCTAACTTCAACAAAGCATTCAATGATATATTTCATGAAGTACCAAGATTCAGGAGGATCTTGTCAAACGAACATTGAACAAAAGCCATATGCCAAAAGGATCTTGATGGATCACAAACTGAGTAGTTTGGCCATCAGGAAAAAATTGCAAATAGTAAGAGCAGTTCACCAATGGAACAGACCATCCCAAGAGCTAGTAGACTTTGAAGTATTTAAAAAGAGGATATATGAGCATCTGTCAAAAATACTGTAGTGAATTCCTGCACTGGGGAGAAAGAACTGGATTAGATTATTTTCAATGTCCCTTCCAGCTTCTCCATTCTTTTGATTCTATAATTAAAAATATCTTACAAGTAATTTTAAGCACTTTTTAAATACTTTTTAGGTGTCTGTTGCTGTGTATGCCTAAAAGACAGAAATTTAATTTTTAAATACACTAAACTGTTAAACATAAAGGAAATGTATTTACAATCACATTTCTATTATTTTGTGAACAGAATATCCTGTTGGAACCATATTTTTAATTTTAAATTGGTCATTTCCTTCTATGGAATGTTTACTAACATAAGAAAAGCCCTGCCAATATTTTATTTTTATACTATCCCCTATTTTCTTTTTGTCTGCTATTCAGCAAAATGAACTTTCTTGAAGGGAAAATTGCTAATTTTACAACTATTGGGAAAACTTTAATTCCCCATCCTCAATACTGTTGCTTCCACTGTTTTTAGAAAAGCTATTCTTTTCTTCAAGTATATGTACACATGCAAACACAGGCATGTCTTAAGAGTGTGATGTCTGACTGCTGAAAGATAATTTAATAGAATAGAAGAATAGAAAAGAATAGAATAGAATAGAATAGAATAATAACTTTATTGTCACTTTAAATGTATACTAATCGACATATATTAAAATGAAATTTTGTTGCATACAGCTGTCAAAGGGTCACCACCTCCCATATACACTACATAAATATGAAATAAATAAATACAGAATTATGTATATACCCACATATATTATATGACAGAGAAACAACAGTCTAGTTCGGGTTATGTATATACATAGCGAGAAAAATGAATCTTGGGAGTTTACCAGACAGATGGCATAGGGAACAAAGCTATTAAAGAATCAGGTAGTCGTGCTAGAAATACTTTGAAATCTCCTCCCAGAGGGGAGCAACAGAAACAGACCGTAAAGTGGGTGTGTGAGGTCTCTAACAATGCTTTGAGATCTAAGCACGTAGCGCTTATAAGCAGCATCCTGAATACCAGGGAGCAAGCTTCCTATGATCTTCTCAGCTGTCCTTACTGTTCTCTGTAGGGACTTTCTATCTGAGGCACTGCTGCCACCAAACCAGACAGTGATGCACTTTGTAAAAATGCTCTCAATCGTGCCTCTGTAAAAAGTGGCCAGGACAGAAGGAGAAAGATGTGCTCTCCTTATCTGATGCAGGAAATGCAGATGCTGATTTTCACGCTTCACTAAGGATGCTGTGTTTAGAGACCAATTCAGATTGTTAGTTATTGAGAATAAAACTTGATCACCAGGAAAAGTTAAAACGTTAAAAGTTTTTATATAAAACAAAAGTTTTAAATACAAAACATTAAAAGTTTTAAAAATAGAGACCTAGCTTTCGTTGGCTGCTGCCAACTTCATCAGGGCGTACATAGATCAATGGGAGTGAACATTTATATGTAAGCTAATGCCTGCGCTTGCCTTCTGGACCGCGTAATGGGTCCAGGTCGGCCAATCGTAGCATTTGTTGTAATTGCTGCATAATTGAATGACTCATCCACTTGTATCACACGTCCCTCATCAGAGTGTAAACAAGCTTCCAACTCCCCACTCATCCATATCCGTGGTCTAGGAGGATCTTCGATCTTATTCCAACGAAAGCTAGGTCTCTATTTTTAAAACTTTTAATGTTTTGTATTTAAAACTTTTGTTTTATATAAAAACTTTTAACGTTTTAACTTTTCCTGGTGAACAAGTTTTATTCTCAATATGTATATACCCAGGAATCATGCTTCTATTTTTAGTATTCTTTTTAATATATCTATCTATCATCCCGTTGAGACTCTACAAAGAAGAGCAACAAACAGGATTAGAGGACTGGAGGCTAAAACATATAAGGAACTGGAATTGGGTATGTCTAGTTTAACGAAGAGAAGAAGACATGATAGTGTTCCAATATCTCAGGGGCTGCCACAAAGAAGAGGGAGTCAAGCTATTCTCCAAAGTGCCTGAAGGCAGGACAAGAAGCAATGGATGGAAACTAATCAAGGAGAGAAGCAACCTAGAACTAAGGAGAAACTTCCTGACAGTAAGAACAATTAATCGGTGGAACAACCTGTCTCCAGAAGCTGTGAATGCTCCAACACTGGAAGTTTTTAAAAAGAGACTGGATAGCCATTTGTCCGAAATGGTATAGGGTTCCTGCCGGAGCAGGGGGTTGGACTAGATGACCTCCAAGGTCTCTTCCAACTTTACTACTACTACTACTACTACTACTACTACTACTACTACTACTACTATTATTATTATTATTATTATTATTATTATATAAAGTAAACCTTGTTGAATTCAGTTATACTTTAAGAGAAGAATTTATGTCATTAGGTTGCATTGCATGTATAGGATTATAAGCCAAACTACAAAGAGTCAAGATATTTTAACATGTGAGTTAGGGATCAAGAATATTTTTATTATCTTAACTGGTAACAACTTAGAGCATGTTCTTCAGTCTTTGATTTTAGATTTAGTTTTATTTATTTTAGGTATAAACCATCATAACTAGGTTCCTAAATTAAGTGTACATTATAATATACAGAGCTTTCCTGAACTTTGTGTATTCTAAGATCGCTGTCATGTTTTCATTTGTTTTAGACAACTGATATATTTATTTCTGTCTCTGCTCTAATTTATTTGAAACTTCATCCACTAGTTCAGTCATAGAAATATGCAACTGTGGTCAGGCATCTGATAGTTGCTGACACGTTAACCTTTCACCTTCAAAACTCATAGGGCCTTTCAGATGTAATAGCAGAATGGTGAACAAGGTATCTGCTTTTGGTATGCACTTCAGTGTACCTTAAAGCACTTTATTAGCTGGCCTCTACTTTTGTTTCCCAAGAGTTCTCCTATGCAATTCAAAGGAAGAACTGAAGAAAACCAGATTACACCTTTAGTTGCACCAAGAACCAGCTGGTAATGGATAACATCTAATTTGTTAGTTAAATCCTAGACGTCATAGATGGAATTTTATTTTGGGCAAAGCAACAGTCAGAGTCATATTCTGTGAAGCTGCAGGGGAGGGAAAGGACTTGCTTATGGACATGCAAACAGAATGCCCAGGTAATCTCTCTCCAGTTTAAATAAATATGTGCTGAATCCCAAAATCTATTCAAAGAGGTAATAAGTAATTGCAATAGTTTAGCTGGACTGACTATATTGATTTTCAAATTCTGTGTTTTCAGTTTTGTTTTGTTTTGTTTTGTTTTTATTACCTTACCAAATTTACCTACATGCAAAATTTTATTATTAGTTTGATACCCCGTGTATGTCAGAATTGGTAGTGTTGTGTATTTCTGGCTTGTTTTCCTGGAACAGGACCAAAATGAGTCCTGGATAAAGCATTTAAGAACTCCTTACCCAGACAGCCTAGAGCAGGCATGTCAAACTGCCGAAACCGTGCCCACCCCATTGCCGGCAACGGGGAAAAAGTCCCGATACATCACGCGACATCATGTGACGTCACGAGTTTGACATGCTTGGCTAGAGGATAGCAGGAAGTTAAGCCTAATGGTGGCAACTTACTATAATTATTTCTGATTGGGAATTCTGGAAAAAAAACAGATCTTGCAAGCAGAATTTTAAAATATGGTCCTTTATATTTTAGAATAAAAACCTGCGTAATTATGTCATTCTTTTTCGGGCAGGGGGTTTACTTGTCTACATTCTCAATAGTTGCTTTTTCTCACATAGCTTTTTAACTTCATTCCCAGGTTCTCGGGTTTTCTTGTAAACAATGTGTATTGAAAAATATGGGTGAGAGACATTAGAAATTTCATTTCATTGTGATTGGGAATGATCTTACTCCATGACATGTGGTAACTTAAGTGCTAGGCACTGATTTTATTTTCTTTGCATTCTTCCATTGGTCAGCCGGAAGGAAAAAGGTGAAGCAGAGCACTGATTGGATTATGTTGTTCTTTACATTTCAAAATCAGTATAATGGCTGGTCACTTTTAAAGTGCTGTATGAGGTACTGGGAGGTAGGAAATCTATAGCACAGAAGTGTCCTACTAGGGAATAGCTAGTTTTTACTATCCTGAAAAGGTACTACAATCAGAGAACTGCATGTCATCTTCAACTGCTATTTTTTCCTGCTATTTCAAGAAATTTGTTCTGGGTGAAATCAGATTCTCTCTAACTCTTTTTCCTTGCCTTATACATTATGTCTAGAACTGAGGTTCTGAATTGGCAGCTAGCTATGAATTTAAGCCACTTACTTCGGTGAAAAATATCCAGGAAGATAAGGAAAGAAAAAATAAAGTTTCATTTCCCTCCATCTCTTTCAAGTCCTGCATATACAGATTCAACTATAAGCTGGCTAAAAATCTGAAATAAAAGTCTCCTAATTTGAGGGGCTGCCACAAAGAAGAGGAGGTCAACCTATTTTCCAAAGCATGAGAAGGCAAGACAAGAAACAATGGAAACTAATCAAGGAGAGAAGCAACCCAGAATTAAGGAAAAATTTCTTAACAGTGAGAACAATTAACCAGTGGAATGGCTTGCCTTCAGAAGTTGTGGGTGCTCCACCACTGGAGCCTTTTAAGAAGATACTGGACATCCATTTGTCTGGCCTAGTGTCAGTTGATGGGTTACCAAACCAATGGAATGTCAAACCATGGAGGTGTAATGTCATGGTGTAACTAGTGAAAAGTGAATATTGAAGAGGGGAAGAATTTGGCGTCTTCGGGTTCACCCACCTCTTTCCTACCTACCTCCCCTTTCCTTTGTTCCTTCTTGCTTTTGCTCTTTCCTCTGTTCTGCTCCTTCCTTCCTACCCTCTTCCCTTCTCCTCTGCCTTCTGTTTTCCTTTCATCCCTCCCTGCCTTTCCTTCCTTTCTCTTTCACATTCCCTCCCTCTTCCTTCCATTTGTTCCTTCTTTTCTCCTTTTGTCCTTCCTTCCCTTTCCAGCAGAGAGCTGCTGGTTGGTGGGGAAGGGAACAAGGGATTGCAGGAATGGAAGTTGTTTGGGAATGTTGAAAATGAGAATTATGTGAGTACAGCAGCATGGCAGTCGCAAGACCAAAGCAGCAACAGTCCAGCATTGGTAAAGCCGCCACAATTTTTCCAAATTTCATTTGGGTCCTAGCATTCTGTAAGTTAGCTTGATCTGAGGAACCTTGGCTGAAAAGGTTTTGCCTTGTGATGCACCATTTCCATCAGTTAAAGGGTACAGATAATTTTAATAGCAGATAGATTATTTATCAAGGTTCTGAGAAGTTTGTTCATTAAACAAATGCTTTCCTGTTTACTAGGAAAATCTAATAGAGGGGGTGGTGCGAAGATCCATACCAATGTGCATATGATCACTGGGCAATTTGTAGGTTAGTTTTTTATACAGATTGATAGTCCTAGGGGGCGCACGCACACGCACACGCACACATACACACAGAGAGACAAAGGATTGAATACCCAGGAAGATAAAGATGGAGGGAGCAGCTAAGTTCTCCAAGGTTGCCGTGAAGTTATGAATAAAGAATAATCAATTTTTTCCTGTACTTATAGGTGAGGCTGGATAGGAATGGAAAGAAGCCAGGAAGTCCATGAACTTGCCTTGAAACTGTCAAGCTGCCTTCGAAACGGTCCCTCATGAAATATGAGGATGGTATCCCTGACTTATTAACTTGCTTGTTTGTTTATATCCTGCCTTGATTTTTTAATAAACAACTCAAGGCAAACATATATATAATTCTTTCTTCCTCCTATTTTCCCTACAGCAACAGTCCTGTAAAGTGAGTCAGGCTGAGATAGTCACCCAGCTATATTTCATAGCTAAGGCAGGACTAGAATTCATGCTCTCCCAGTTTCTAGCCTGGTCCTTAACCACTAGACCAAATTGGCTCTCACTGCAGAAACACAACAAAGTTTAGGCATGGGGCAGTGCAATTTATGTTGATATATTGTTTCGCTATTGTTTTCGGAAGATGTGGACAGACCTGGTCATAGAATTGCCAAGAGCAGGACTCGAAGGATGCATATTTATGAGGTTATGAGGAAGTATCTTGTGGACAAATGTCATAATAGAGAAATTAATAAAGAAAGTCCAAGTTAAAAAAATAGGCAAAGGACTTCTCTGGAATACAAAGTACATTTATTTTAGAATAGAATGCAATTTTCATATATGCACTGAACAGTTTAGAAGAGAAATGGATTAAAAGAATGTATGCATTTGGAATTAATTTATTTCATTTACTATTATAAAATCTTACCTCATAAGCAGATGTTTGCTTCTTTCAAATTATCTGTTACGAGAAAATAAATACTGCTGTTAAGAAAATTTCTCAGGGAGTAACTTTTCACACAGTGAAAATAATGGTATGTAGGCCATTCTCTGCCTGCACCTTCAGCTAATCCTGGTTTAAAACTACTGTCTCTATTTTTTGCTCAGAGAAATATCAAAGAAACTTTGGAACCAAGGCCAGCACATCGACATCACAAATGAAGCAAACCCATTTTCACCAATATCTTATCAAAAGCATTCACAACATTACATAATTTGAAATCAAACTAACACATTTAATATTGTATAAAATTGTTCTAATAGTAATTATCAACTCAAGCCTTATTACGTCTCATTCGGATTACTGCAGGGTGCTGATGTATGTACATTACATTGGTGCTTTAGCCCTGCACTGTTTTCCTATTAGCTTCTGAATGTAAGTCAAAGTTCTGGATTTATAATTAAAGCCTACATGTTTTGACATCAGAGGACATACATTTCAGACTACTTGCTCTGCCTAGTTTCTACTCTCCCATCTTGAATACTTCGAGAGAACTTCCTTATGATTCCACACTTTTACAAAGTAAAAGTTGGAGGCTCATAGGCATATTTTCTGTGTAACTGTGCCAATACTTTGGAAAAGCCTCCCTCCCCTAATTATACTTGGTTTCTACAAACTGTTAAAAACAGTTATTTTGGACAGTCTTGGAGGGATAAATTATGACCATCAGCAGCAGGCTAAAGTTTCAGAAGGCAGAAAAGATATGAATAGCTGTTACCATTGCCATGATCTCATTTTTGCTTTTTTTAACCCAAAAGATCTACACTTTAATTTGGCAACTAATGTATAGCTGGATTCATGTAACTTACTAAGCCATACTTAACATATTGTCTAAATCCAGGTACTTTCAGCTGATTCAATAAGCCAGATAACAAGGGGGTAGATAAAAAGGCAAATGTGATTCAAATATGTAGTATGCAGTTGGCATCTGTCAGGAACATCTTCAACAGCTCATCTGAAGCAAAAGAGCAATTCCACATTATGTTTTGTGTGTATGTATTTTTCCAAACTAGCAACTGAAAATCATTCCTTTTTTTGGATCACTCAAACCGGGACATGTCAAACACAAGGCCCACAAAATGGTTTCATGTGGCCCGCGAAGCCATCCTGGAAACAATGAGGGAACAGCCCCCCCGCTGCCATGGCCCCGGCCCAAGCCGGCCGGAAGCCAATGTACAATTTTCTGGTGGCCATCTATGCTGAAATGCATTCAGTCTTAGCTCCACAAGGCCATCTGGAAACAGTGAGGAACTAGCCCCTGCCGTGTTGCCCTGCTCCCTGGGTGCATGCTGGGGAGGTATCACCCTTTGTGAGGAATGAAGAAATGCACCATTGCCTGGAAGTGGACAGCAAATAGCCCTCACCTACTTCACATATCTGGCTTGATGGGCTCTGGGGCAGGAGTTTCGGCAGGCAGCAGGATGCTCTCCTCACACCGCTGAGAGACTGAGCTGGGTGGCTTAAATCCAAAAAGAAATGTGAGACCGCCCAGCTCCCAGCCTGCTGATTTCAGCAGGCAGTGGGACGCTCTCCTCACAGCACCAAGAGCTGAGCCGGGTGGCGCAAATCTGATGAGAAGTGCAGTGTTGCCTAGCCCCCAGCCTGCCCAGTTTCAGCAGGCAGCAAGATGCAAAGCTGGCGAGCTTCGCACCGCCCGGCTCAACCTTTCAGCGCTGTGAGGAGAGCACCCCGCTGCCTGCCGAAACCAGTCAGGCTGGGGGCTGGGCAGCATCGCACTTCTTTTTGGATTTGCGCCGCCCGATTCAGCCTCTTGTGCTGAGGAAAGCGCCACGTTGCCTGCTGAAACCGGGCAGGCTGGGGGCTGGGCGGCATTGCACAGGTAATGTTGACTCTCACGCTGCTTATGGCATCCCCTCCCCCAGAGCCCACCAAGCCAGATATGTGAAGTAGGTGAGGGCCATGTGCTGGCCACTTCCAGGCGATGGTGCATTTCTTCATTCCTCACAAAGGTGACACCTCCCCAGCTGCATTTCTTGCCTGTTTTTCTCCCTCATCTCAAATATTTTCCCACCACTCTGTACTTAGGAAGGAAGGAAGGAAGGAAGGAAGGAAGGGGGAGGGTTTGAGCGAAGTCCTGCCTTAGTCCTGCTCTGCCGCCCTTTCACCATCCCCTTGCCCCCTCCTCCTGGCCTATCCTGGGGGTCTCCCATCCTATTGCTAAGGAAGCTTTGGATACAAAGCCGGGTATCCTCTCACAGAGAGGGAATGGGCCTCCCTCTAACTTTGCCCTCGTACCCATCATGAGCAACCTGGGTAAGAAGAGCAAGCACAGCAGCAACAGCCTTGAGGAGGTAAGTGCAGCTGGGTGCCCCCTTGGGAAGTGGGGCTGGGCTTGGTGCCGCGGGTGCTCAAGGGCCAGGCTGGGCATTTGACCTCTGCTGTCCAGCGTTCCCGGCACCACCATCCAACCCCCCCCCCTGCATGTCCTGAGAGGAACAGTGAGGCTCCTCCAGTGGATCATGCCTTGGCACTTGCCTTGGTCCCACCCCCTTCTGCCAGAGACCCTCAGATCTGTCCCACTCTTGCCCAGGCCCCCAGAGGCATCCTTGACGCGAACGATGTAAAGCTGGTCCACGCCCACCCAGTAGGCCACACCCACCCTGGCCACACACACACACCCCGAAGGCAACCGCAATGATGATGCAACCCTCAATGAAATTGAGTTTGACATCCCTGATTCAAACAGAATACTTAATAGTTAACATTTTCATTTAATTTCTATTTATGATATATCACATTTTCCCACCAGGGACTGAAGGTTATATAGAAAGGACTCATTTTTCCAATTTTAATAATAAGACTTTGAACCCACAATATGTGATCCTGTCTTTTACATGCAAGAGTTGGGTGACAATATCATTTCTATACCAAACATGCAGATTTTTCAAGGCTGGCAAAGCCAGTATGGAATGAATAATCAAAATTTTACATTAAAATAGATTTCTATAGTAGTTCAGAATTCTACAATGAGTGGCAGCAATTATCCAAGCTTTTCCAGACCAATTTTCACATATTGTTGATTGAACCCAACTGCATTCCAAGTCTGCATTTTTCTCCAATTCCAGAAGCCCAAGAATAACCTAGGATGAAAATGACATATATTTATCAAAAAGAAAAAAGGTGGAAAATTTATATTGCAAGAGTTAGTTATGAATGTGGTGAAAGCAAGGATTGCTTGTCAAGACAGAAAGGCCAGAAAGTATAGTAATAAATATTACACATAATTCTAGTTCCTTTTTCGGAAGCCCTGCCTTGAATTTTTTTGGCTTGGTATACTACCTTACTCCTTTTCTGCAACTCCTTTGCTTACCCAAAAAACGAAATCTGATAAGTATGTGATATACATGAACATTTAAACTACTGTTTCATAATTTATATCAGAAAATCGTTCTCTGCACGTCAATGGGAAGGCAGATTTGTTAGCTATTTGGACGAAAAGTGAGTTCAAAGTCACCGCGCTATTGTTCACCTAAAAGACGGTTGGTTGCTCTCACTGACGTTAATATTGCATCTTAAAGGAAAACGAGCCCCGCTTTACACATTTTTCTCGCCAGCCATTGAATGAAGAGCCCTTTAAAAACAAAATGGATAAGACACGCCCACGTCCGCCGGGCGGTCACTTCACAAATCTTAGGGACCAATCGGTCTTCGTCTTAGTACGAAGTGATCGAAGCCGCTGCAGAGAGAGAGAGAGAGAGAGGAAGAGAAAGATGGAGGCTTTTTCGCAGGGTGCGGCGCCGGTGGAGGGCGACCGGGTGCCGCTGGTTGCCGGCCTTTCCGCCCTGGTTCCCGACAGATTGCATCAGCGAGAAGCGGAACGACGAGAGGAGGCAGAGAGAAAGCGACGAGAACGCGACGCGCAGTCGGTTTTAGAAGAGCAGAGCGATTATTTCACCGCCTCCTTTGCCCGGGAGCGGGAGACCATCGAAGCGCTGCTGCGGTCGGAGCCGGCCCAGGGTGCCGAGGCGGCTGTCGAAGCCGTGTCTGAGGCGGCTCGGCGACTGCAGGATCTGCAGCGGCTGCTGACTGATTCAGTGCGCTTCTTGGCTCCATATGAGGTGCGGCAGGCCCAGGCGGCGCTGAACAAGCTACAGGGCGAGCTCTCCGACAGGCGCCTCCAGCTGAAGCCGAAGAAGCGGTTCGCCTTCACCAAAGCCCTCAAAAAGGACCCTGCCTCGGCTCCGTCCGAGTCTTCCGCTCAGCACCCGCCCCGGGAAAGCTCCGCGGAAGACCAGAAAGAAGCGGCAACCTCCGCTCCGGTGGATCCAGGTTGCGGCTTCAGCCGGGCCGAGGGACAGACCCTCGAGCTCGGGCCGACCGATCTGCTGCAGCAGGACGTGGTGCTGTCTCATCTTAGGCGCTGCCGGGTGCTGTTACGCGGCAACCCCAACACGCTGTTGGTGCGCAACTGCGACGATTGTACCATACTGTGCGGACCCGTATCGACCTCGGCGCGGGTGGATGGGTGTAGCGGTTGCGTCGTGGCTCTTGCCTGCCAGCAGCTCCGGACTCACCGCGCGACGGAGATGAACTTCTACGTACAAGTGACTAGCCGAGCGATGCTGGAGGACTGCTGCGCTGTGCGCTTCGCCCCCTATTCATGGGATTATGCAGGCATTGATGCTGACTTCAAGACTGCTGGGCTTGATAGAAGCAAGAACAACTGGGATCAGGTGGACGACTTTAATTGGCTGGCCAAGGATCAGGCCTCCCCGAATTGGTGTGTGATCCAGGAAAAGGAGCGGATCACGAATTGGAATTGAGTTACAGCCTGCATTTGTAGAGGATTTCAAAACAACGGTACTGAAAAAGAGGAGCGACTTTTCAAGGGACAGAATTAATGATGCATTAAATAGTCCTGAATGATGTTTGGAAACTTTAGGTTGCCAAAACACTTGTCCTGATAACCTTTAACTATTTACTTGCTGATTATGTGTCCTGTTGGTAATGTTTAGTATTGTGTATGCTGGAGTTCTTTCCATAGATCTGCAGTTGTAGCTGTAAGATTGTTTTTGTCCTCTTAGGAAGAAAACTTGTGGGGCTGAAGATTTTAACTTCTGTTAAAATGTTATCCAGTTAGTAATTTGCTCACCTAAATACTGATTAAAATTACTGTTATTTAAACATTGGCTATTTTTATCTCTGAAATGTGTTTAAAAAATGTGGGTTAAAAAAATAGTCTTCCCAAAGAGTGTTATGAGATAGGAATGGTCTGAAGATTTATTTTTTTTGTCAGCTCTATAAGAAATAATGTAGAGATGCATGGTTTCAGAAGTAATTTTAGCATCTTCCCTTGTTAAAATAGTTTAACTTATGCTGTGTATCTGAAGCAGATTCTTTCCGGGACTCATCTTCCTCTAATAGTACCAAGCCAGAGAATTCTATAAAATTAATTTGCAAATCATTCTGAAAGTTATTCAGAAACCATGTCAGCATTAATTCACTTTTACAAAATATCGTGCAGGTGGATGAGTTTGTAAAAGTGCTTAATTTCGGATCACAAACAGTATGTGCTTTTACTTTTGTGTGCCTGTAAGCATTTTGAAGATAGATGTCTAAAAGGACAGACCAAAAATATATATACGCCCTGGGACATAGTTATGCACTTTAAGTGGCAGAAAGCTTAGTAGGTGCTTAAGTGTCCTTCTAAAATTAATAAAATGCAAAAGGATAAAGTCAAGTTTGCCTAATACCTTTCTGCTGTTGTTGTTAATTGCGAAGTCGTGTCCGACCCATTGCGACCCCATGGACAATGTTCCTCCAGGTCTTCCTGTCCTCTACCATCTTCTGGAGTCCATTCAAGTTCACACCTACTGCTTCAGTGACTCCATCCAGCCATCTCATTCTCTGTCGTCCCCTTCTTCTATCGCCCTCAATCTTTCCCAGCATTAGGCCCTTCTCCAGTGAGTCCTCATTAGGTGGCCAAAGTATTTGAGTTTCAACTTCAGGATCTGACCTTCTAAAGAGCAGTCGGGGTTGATCTCTTCTAGGACTGACCGGTTTGAACGCCTTGCAGTCCAAGGGACTCGCAGGAGTCTTCTCCAGCACCATAGTTCAAAGGCCTCAATTCTTTTGCGCTCAGCCTTTCTTATGGTCCAACTTTCACAGCCATACATTGCAACTGGGAAAACCATGGCCTGGACTATACGCACTTTTGTTGGCAGGGTGATGTCTCTGCTTTTTAGTATGCTGTCTAGATTTGCCATAGCTTTCCTCCCCAGGAGCAAGCGTCTTTTAATTTCTTGGCTGCAGTCCCCATCTGAGGTGATCTTGGAGCCCAGAAAAATAAAATCTGTCACTACCTCCATTTCTTCCCCATCTATTTGCCAGGAATTGAGAGGGCCGGATGCCATGATTTTGGTTTTCTTAATGTTGAGTTTCAAGCCAACTTTTGCACTCTCTTTCTTCACCCGCATCAAGAGGCTCTTTAGTTCCTCTTCACTTTCTGCCATTAGAGTGGTATCATCTGCATATCTGAGGTTGTTGATATTTCTCCCAGCAATCTTAATTCCAACTTTTGATTTCATCTAGCCCTGCCTTTCTCATGATGTGCTCTGCATATAAATTAAATAGGCAGGGCGACAGTATACAGCCTTGCCGGACTCCTTTTCCAATTTTGAACCAATCAGTGGTCCCGTGTTCAGTTCTCACTGTTGCTTCTTGACCCGCATATAGGTTTCTCAAGAGACAAATGAGATGGTCTGGTACTCCCATCTCTTTAAGAACTTGCCACAATTTGTTGTGATCCACACAATCAAAGGCTTTTGCATAGTCAATGAAGCAGAAGTAGATGTTTTTCTGGAACTCCCTAGCTTTCTCCATGATCCAGCGTATGTTGGCAATTTGATCTCTAGTTCCTCTGCCTCTTCGAAATCCTGCCTGTACTTCTGGTAGTTCTCGATCCACATACTGCTGGAGTCTAGCTTGTAGGATTTTAAGCATAACTTTACTAGCATGTGAAATGAGTGCAATGGTGCGATAGTTTGAACATTCTTTGGCATTGCCTTTCTTTGGAATTGGAATGTAAACTGACCTTTTCCAATCCTGTGGCCACTGTTGAGTTTTCCAAATTTGCTGGCAAATTGAGTGTAGCACTTTTACTGCATCGTCTTTTAAGATTTTGAATAGCTCAGCTGGAATACTGTCACCTCCACTAGCTTTGTTGTTGCTCAGATTTTCTAAGGCCCATTTCACTTCACATTCTAGGATGTCTGGTTCGAGGTCAGTGACCATCTCATTGTGGTTATCTGGGATGTTAAGCTCATTCTTGTATAGTTCTTCTGTGTAGTTTTGCCATCTCTTCTTAATCTCTTCTGCCTCTGTTAGGTCTCTGCCATTTTGGTCCTTTATCATGCCCATCTTTGCATGAAACGTTCCCTTCATATCTCCAATTTTCTTGAAGAGATCTCTGGTCCTCCCTATTCTGTTGTTTTCTTCTATTTCTTTGCACTGTTCATTTAAGAAGGCATTCTTATCTCTTCTAGCTATTCTCTGGAATTCTGCATTCAATTGGGTGTATCTTTCTCTTTCTCCTTTGCCTTTCGCTTCCCTTCTTTCCTCAGCTATTTGCAAAGCTTCCTCAGACAGCCATTTTGCTTTCTTGCATTTCTTTTTCTTTGGGATGGTTTTAGTTGCTACCTCTTGTACAATGTTGCGAACTTCCATCCATAGTTCTTCAGGCACTCTGTCTATCAGATCTAATTCCTTAAATCTATTTGTCACCTCTACTGTATATTCATCAGGAATATGATTTAGTTCATACCTGAGTGGCCTAGTGCTTTTCCCTACTTTTTTCAATTTAAGCCTAAATTTTGCAACGAGAAGCTCATGATCTGAGCCACAGTCAGCTCCTGGTCTTGTTTTTACTGACTGTATAGAGCTTCTCCATCTTTGGCTGCAGAGCACATAGTCAATCTGATTTCTATGTTGACCGTCTGGTGATGTCCATGTGTAGAGCCGTCTCTTGGGTTGTTGGAAAAGAGTGTTTGTTATGACCATCGTATTCTCTTGACAAAATTCTATTAGCCTGTGCCCTGCTTCATTTTGTACTCCAAGGCCAAACTTGCCTGTTATTCCGGTTATCTTTTGGCTTCCTACCTTAGCATTCCAATCCCCCATGATGATAAGGACATCATTTTTTGGTGTTAATTCTATAAGGTGCTGTAGGGCTTCATAGAACCGGTCAATTTCATCCTCTTCAGCACCAGTGGTTGGGGCATAGATTTGGACTACTGTGATATTGAATGGTTTGCCTTGGATTCGAATTGAGATCATTCTGTCATTTTGGGGATTGTATCCCAGTATTGCTTTTCCTATTCTTTTATTGACTATGAAGGCTACTCCATTTCTTCTGAGGGATTCTTGCCCACAGTAGTATACCTGATGGTCATCTGAGTTAAATTCACCCATTCCTGTCCATTTTAGTTCGCTGATTCCTAAGATGTCGATGTTCAGTCTTGTCATCTCTTTTTTGACTACGTCTAGCTTGCCTTGATTCATGGATCTTACATTCCAGGTTCCTATGGAGAAAAAATCTTTGCAGCATCGGACTTTCCTTTCACCACCAGATATATCCACAGCTGAGCGTCCTTTCGGCTTTGGCCCAGTCGCTTCATTCTTTCTGGCGCTACTAGTACTAGCCCTCTGCTCTTCCCCAGTAGCATAATGGATACCTGAGGGGCTCATCTTCCAGCGTCATATCTTTTTGCCTTTTAGTACTGTCCATGGGGTTTTCATGGCAAAGATACTGGAGTGGTTTGCCATTTCCTTCTCCGGTGGATCACATTTTGTCAGAACTCTCTGCTATAACCTGTCCGTCTTGGGTGGCCCTGCACGGCATAGCTTATAGCTTCATTGAGTTACGCAAGCCCCTTCGCCACGACAAGGCAGTAATCCATAAAGGGGTCCTTTCTGCTACATTTTGAATAAAATATTTCTGCAATAAAATAATGTAAGATTTTATATAACATGTACATTTATAACTTAATGTACACTTCAGAAATATTTCACAATTTGAACATCTTAAGATATTTGTTTTATTTCCACTTTATTTTTTTACAATACCTTGATTGAAAATTTCTCAGTTATTTGGATTGTTATTTATTAACAATTTTGTTACTGCATCCATTATCGTTTCTTCTTAATATTTATACTAAAGTAAAACAAGATATATAGAAGCTTCAAAGTATTCTGAAGATAGAACTGTCCAAAGCTTCTGCAAGAAGTGCTAAACAATGTACAGGAGTTCTTATAAAACCCTTGGTTTTGAAATATTAAAGCAGCTGTATTGTTGGCAAGCTTTGTGGGGCTGCTTCAAGGATAGTTCTTGGCTATCTCAGTACTCATGAAAACAGTCACAAGAGTCTTAAGTACTAGTTTGACTCTTTGGAAAGAAGTGTTGAATATATTCCTTAATAGATTAAAATTCAGTTGCTCTACTGTAGAATATTAATTGTCTGCTTTTTTGTGTCTAGTAAAGAGGGTAACTGATAATGTTTTGAAGTTATACAGGTAGTCCTCAATTAGAACCACACTTGTGCCTGGAATTTTGATTGTAAATCATTGCTGTCTTTAAGAAAAGTGTCCCTGTGATTGCCTTGTTCAATGACCACAATCCAAGCTCTCCCCATTGCTGTCATTAAGTAACTGTGTGGGGGTGCTCAGGAGGTGCCCATCAGCATGTGGAAACCTGCCTAGAGCTGGGAAGCATTGCCCAGCCAGGCCACCAGCACATAGACCTTATCCCTGCCCTACCACACTCTGTTTCACTTATCTTTCCATCACCTCACTCCATCCTGCACATGGGTCACATTCTTGTGATGATTCAGAAGGCTTCTCCAAATTGCACAGTTTGGAGAAGGGGCCTTCAAAACCACCATGAGAATTATTGTGTTTGCTGTTGGAGTCATTGGGTTATCTGGCCTGTTAGGCTGAGTCACCAGCTGCAGTAGGCCAAGGTATGCGGAAGTCAGAAGAGAAAATAGATTGGCGTAAACAAGTTTGTGCCGTGCGGTGCAAGGGAATGTTGTTTTGGTGTTTGTTAGTGCCGTGTGCAACAGCTGTATAGTAGCGTGTGCAAAACAAAGCTAACATGTGTAATATGCTAATATGCTGTGTCATAACAA